GCTGTGAATGTAGATTGTGTAACTTCTCGGTTGTCAGCTCCTGAGACTGTTCCTCGACGAGTTCGTTCACATCTCTCTCATCCACCTCCAGCTCCATGGATTTTCCCAGAGAAACAATCTCCTCTACCTCTGACACTTCGGGTTCCTATTCTTCAAAGGCCCTTTCAGCTACAGCTTCAGGCCACAGCTTCTTCCATGCGGAGGTTAAGGTCCTCGTTGTAATACCCAGCCAGGCCTGATCAATAATTCTTAGGCATATCACGATGTTAAAGTGGTCCTTCCAGAACTCTCATCTCAAAGCAAAATATCGCTCACTCGGCAGCTCGTATCTCAAAACACTCGTATATTAGGGCACTCGTATATCGAGGTACCATTGTATTTTTTTTTTTTTTTTTGCAATGCTGATATTCTGATTTGTAAACTCTTTCATGTAATCAGCTAATGTGTAAAGAAATATATTTTCCTTCATGTTTATTTGTTTTGTTTTATTTCACAAAACTTATTCATTTTTTGAAAGTCACTGAGAAACATTTAATTTATTTTTATTTTTGTTTTAATCATGTTTTAAAATATCTAAATGATGAAGAATTCTTTTAATGTTTAGTATTGAAAGCCAAATTGTTCCTCCACCCATATATAATAAATGCATAGCTGCGAACTTTTCCAATTCTGCTGGGAGACTCTTGATAGATCACTGATTCTTCCAGATTTTAACTTCTGTTGAAGGAAAACGTTTCCTGGCAATAAAAGAAATTTATTGAAACAGTGAAACTTAAATAAGCAAATTCCATTTTCGCACTTCTACTGATTTTCAGAATAATTTTTCTTGATCAGTTTTATTTCATCTGAATTATTAGTCCAAAGGGGCTTTGTCTCTGAAGGACTATTGTTTTCATTTTGCGATTTTGCATCGGAACCCTACAAATGGCATATCACTTTTCAAATCATTGCCACCAAATACTATCTCCCTGTATTATATTTGAAGAAATTAAATAATGAAGAATCTGCATAAATGTATGGTATGTTTCTCGCATTGTGATGAAACAACAGTACTTAGAGCCATCCAATTCTGAATGACGTAATCCTGCTGCAAATATGGGCATCTGAAAGCCGAAATTTGGAATTTGTTTTATTATCGATTTTATATTTTGTAAAACTTTAACGAATTTTTTATTCACAAACTCAACGATTTAAAAGTGAACAATGGCAACACTTTACCGAGAGGGGGGAATAATTTTATCTTCAGCGCTTGGAACTGCGTATCAGAAATTCTAAAGATATGCTCATTTTAAAATTATTTTGCAACATTGCTGTGTAACTGAATTTTAGGGTTTAAGTGCAAAGGACATGATATTTAATAAATAAAAGTAACACACAAAGCGTTAAAAAAAAGCTCCTTTGGGTGTAATTTAAAATCTGAAACCCTTCAGATTTTTGTAAAATAACAGTCAAAAGTCTTTAATCCGGAATGATCTATAATCTGTACCTCAAAGCTACAAACTTTTTGCACATGCGTCAATGCATAATGTGTTAATGCATGCGCATAATACCTTTTAGAAGTGAAGCACTGCTCCGAAGCTTGAGTCACCAGACGGGGTGTTATTTGTTTACATTCAGAAGCTCGCTTGACAAGATTTTGATAGTATTTCGACACACGACAGTTCCATACAAATCGAAAAACGGGATACTTCCGCATAAAAGAAACATTCCTAGTGTGATGGATAATAGCAATTTGTATAGTTTTAGTGACATTTACGTAAAAAATCACATCTTGGTTATTTTTCGATAACTAACAACAGCGAATTTGATTATGAATTTGTTTTATAAAATTCTAAGCTGTTGAACTACAAAAATGTAGATTTTAGCAAAAACGTTATGCTTAAAAGAATGAAAAATACCTCACCATACTTTTATATTTGTGTACATCTTTCGATACCCTTGATAGAGTAGTTGCTACTTTTATTTTATGTTCCAAACATAAAAATGTTTTAAATAAAATAATTTTTTTCTCATCCACATATTATTGTAACATATACTTTTTCAAATTAGTGTAAATTACCTTTCTCGAAAAATATAGTGAATGCACATAAATTAAAGATTTGCACATGCTGGAAATGAAAAATATGAAATATGTATGGGTATTTATGCATGTGCTTGCAAAAAGCTACTATCTGCCTTTAACAAAATACGTAAATATTTATTAAATCATTTATAAATGTATTTGAAATGAAGGATTTATTCATTCATAAACAACTCAAAGTTACTGCAAAGAAATCTAATTATTAAATGTATCTAAATTTGTAATGATTATAAATATTATCTAAATATATAATAACCTAAACATTGAATTGTAAGCATAAACTGACATCCTGTTGACAAATACGTTATAAAACTATTTAAGCAAGAATTGTTCGTACTGGAAAGCAATCTGTTAAAAGGTATTGTAAAGCAATTTCTATTAGATGTGCACTTCAGAAAGTAATAAAGAAGAGCTTTAGAATATGTATTGTTGAAATTAGGTGTAAAAAAAATCTGATAAGTATAATTAAAAGAATTATTCCCCTTAAATTTTATAATAACGCAGTTACAAGTTTTAAATAATATTTAAAAAATAATCCTTACTTTATTCCCTTTCAGAAATATTCAGAGAAAGTTAAGTACTATTTAAAGTATTTCGCTATTAAAATAAAAGGTGCTCTAATTTGAAATGGACCGAATTAATAAATTGCCTTAAATAAGGACCGACTTAATTATAGCATTAATTATAAATTGACTTATTTTTCGATTTAAAAGATGCCTCAGAAGCTAAAAATGTCATATTTGAAAACGTATTTTAGAAGAAACTCCATAAACAAGAAGAAATAATGCATAGAATTTTAATATTAATAATACAGTAAACTTTGATCTTAATTTTTGTAATCCTTAACCGAATAAAATCGAATTACCTTAAATTTTTTTCTAATGTAATTAACGAAAATTTGTGAAAATATTTAATTCCAAATTAAACCATTCTCAGCAAACTGTCCTGTGAAAAGTATAGCATTTAATTCCATTCAGAATGAAATGTTTTTTTAAAAATGTGAGATTTTCATATACTTAGGACTCTGAAGTGTTGTAGAAAAAGAAAATATATACATTTATATGTATATTTACGACATAATTATATAATATTTACATCCGATCATGTCTAAATCCATTGAATTTAATGGTAAATTACCCAATGTTTTGGTCACCATATGGGGATCGCCAGTGCTTCAAAGCAAGGTACGGGAGAAACCTGTTAGGGCCACTCCATCTTATTTCCTACCTCCATGCGGGTGTGATAGGGATCACAAGGGATGATACATTGTAAGAGAAAAGTGTTTTTAGGTCTCATTCAGTGTCAGTATATGAGGAATAAAAAATTGAATGGAGCTACAGATTTCTCCTGTATTCTTTCTTCACTGTAAGTCAGTAATGTATACAGGATGCACATGGTATCAGAATGGGGACAAATTATATAGGATGCAAAAAAGTTTCCAGGAAATTGACAATAATCTGGAAGTGAATTTAATATATTATTTAATTTTTTAATAAAATGATTTCTTCATTTTTCTTTGGGGGTTTACGTGCTCATGTGCACAAATAGAGGAGCTGCCAGTGCATTGTACAAAAAAAGGAACACTTTTATGTCCAGGGCGCCAAACTGTTCGTCGAAGCTCTAAAGATATGTTGTTTTTAAATATTTTGCCATTTTGCTGTTGAATGGAATTTTATTGGCTACCAAGAACGTGATATTTAATAAATAAATCAAACACATAAAACGTTCAAAATAAAGACAAAGAAAAGTTTTGTAAAGCCATCTTAATAAGAAAACTCATCATTGATATGATGAACTGAGAAATCATGTCATGTCCAATCCAAAACAAAAATGGTGCTCATTTCGTTTTCTGAAAAGGAAGTGGTAGTATTCCACGAATTTGTACCAACTGGGCAAACTGTTAACGGCCCTTATTACTTGAAAGTTTTGGAAAGACTGGGCAATTAGGAGAAAACGTCTTGCCAACTTTCAAGGCGAATAGGTAAATGTGTACCTATATTGTGGCAATAAAGATTTGCAACGAAATTCTCTTGTAGATTAGTGACCAAGCTGATAGATTCTGAAATTATGTCTAAAGCATTAGCGTTTGTGGTTGAGATATTTTCGTTTAATGAAGGAACCTAAACTCAGTCAATATGAAAGTTGCAAAAATCTTACCACAGAAAATTCGACCTTATCCTTCTCATCCTTCAGCTGTGCATTCAATGCTCTGAAAATTTTTCTCAAAACATTATCCGTCAAAATGTTGCTTTGCTTCCTGCATTTAACAAAGCTTTTAATGGGATGCCATGTAACATAACTTGAACATGTGGCATTTCTACTTATTGTTAATAGGAACTTATCGTTAATTGTAACTGTGTGTTATGGTTTAAAAAAAGTCAGTGTGCAGTTTTCAAGGTTCTATGATATCTAGAAAATCTTCAAAAGAACAAACGTACAGATTGACTGAAAACGAAGCGTAAATAAATGTGTATTTTATTATTAAAATTAATGCTTATGGTGAGCAAAAATTGGAAGTAGCTTTTCCTATTTCTGTTTTCTCTATTATGTGGTACGGTATTCCGTTGAATTTGAGACATTTCATAAGAAATGTAACGAATGATAGAAAACAATATAAGCTTCATTCCTCATATTTTCTATCATAATTTACTTAATTTATGTCAAACACTTGTTCTCTCTCTTAAAAAAAGAAAAAAAAAACAACAAGACAGGTAAAAAAAAAAAAAAAAATTCTGTTTTTCTACTACTACTAAATTTGAAAACAAACAAATAAATTATGAAATTGGTAAAACTTAAGAACATCAGCTGCTTTTTACTTTTGAGATGCAAATGTATATAAATATATTGCCTATGAGATAAAAATGTACATAAAAATGAACAAAGAACTCAAGGTAAGCAAATAATTTATTTAAACAAAGAAAAATAATCATCATTTTTCATATGATCATTACAGAAAATCGTCATTTTTATGCCTGCTGAAGCTTATTAGCTTTAAGTATGCACATGCAATGTGCAAATGTATTGAATTATGATAACATTCAATTTACATAAGAAAACATAAAGAGGATCTAATAAAAACTTGAAAATGTGATATGAAGATTTCGCAGTTCAGATATCCAACTCGAAGACGCAAAGCCTTTTATTTCATTGCTGTGGTTTCAGCGCCCTGAAAGAGAAAAACAATGCAAGCATGAAGATGGAAGAAACAATCGTCCTCATGATTTAGAACTCTCCTTATTTTAGTTAACTCGGTTTTTCCATTACTGAATTCTTTCATTGCTACAACAGAATTATATACAGTCTTACGTTCATTAAAATGTGATACATTGATTAAAACTGTCTTATGTTGATTAGAATGTCTGTGTTAATTAAAATTAATTGTTACGTTGATTAAAATGTCTATAACAGAATTATATAAAGTCTTACGTTGATTAAAATGTCTGTGTTGATTAAAAATAATTAATTGCTACGTTGATTAAAATGTCTATAACGGAATTATATAGAGTCTTACGTTGATTAAAATGTGTGTGCGTTTTGGTTAGAAAAACAAAAGTCTGCAATTTTCAAGATTTTATGACATCTAGAAAATACTGAAAAGAACAAATGATTGACTGAAAATGAAGCTTAAACAGTTATCATTTTATTATTAAAAATCAATGCTTGTGGTTAGGAAATATTAGAAGCAACTTTTCCTATCTCTCTGCTCTATTTTCTTAAAATGTAACTGCCGCTGCACGGCGTGGGCGTGTTCACATGGAAATTACACTGCTATTGTAATTGCCGTGTGAACTTTACATATGCCTCAGATGAATTAAAAAAATCACATGTGGTCAGCACATGATCTCCCACCAATTTTATATCTTAAATAATACCGCGCTTTAAGTAAACTATCACTTCCGGTCGATTGTTTGAAAACAAAATCTAATTTGTTCTTCTGGCAAACAGAAAGGTATGCTTTGCTGAAAAGCTGTTGCTTCTGTAACGTTAAGGCACGTTAAAAAAGCTAAGTTAAAAAAGCTAAGCTCTTTGGATATGTAGCAAGAGGAAGGCCATGGAGGTAGGAAGTGAGGCTTCTGATAAACAGAAGTCCCCCCCCTCCTCAATGGCAGATTGTGAACAGTTTACAGTGGAACTCAGTCCATTAATCTATACAAGGCCAGATGTGGTGGTCTCTTTATTATGGAGGCACCTAATAGGTGAGCCCCCATTGCCTTCTATGAAGGGACGGACAGGTATAGATACCGCAGGTAATTGAGGTATTGCTGAACCTAGCTAACTCTTAAACTTTCCACCCTAATTTTGAGGGAGAACATCCTGGGGGGTGGTCCGAGGTTCTCCCCCCTCTCTTTTTTTACCATCAATTCCTTGAGAGGACTTTCTGAGATAACTGACTTATGGTATTAATAGTGTACACAAATCATACTGAGAAAAGACTGTCCTTGAAAAGTTCAACTACCGATGCTTCCAAAAGTCTAAATGTATGAACAAATGTCCTTTCTAAGGTGGAAGGTGTAATAAGCAAGTCTTTGGACCTTCCGTCCATCAAGACTGCGTAGAAAAATGAAATTGTTGGAACATTAATAATATATATATATATATATGTGATGTACCAGCTTTTGTCATAGCTTAAATTATCAGATGATAAGTTTTAAAAAACAGGGTCCATTTATTATACTTCAGGAAAAAATAGCAGTTACAAAATCAGATATCCGGAGTAAATAAAAAAGAATTACTAATAACTTTTTGTATGAAGTTTACTGCATCGTGACATTAAAGAAAAAGCCCCGATATTCTTTTGCGAGTCCTTTTATAGCCTCTGGAAAGGCGGAGCTTCAAAGAAATGACGTCAGCCAATCCAGTTCGCGTTAAATATTTCCAGAACATTCTAAAACTGTACGTGTAGAAAAGGCGGGAAAAACAACTTGACTACGGGGCTGTGGATTTAATTCCACGTACTTTCCACTAAGAGAACGTCCCATTAAAAATGAAAAGAACAAACAGTTAGAATTCTAAGTGTATTCTTGACTATGGAATTTTATTATTACACACACACACACACACACACACTATATATATATATTAGTAATATATGGAGATGAATAAGCATTAGATATGACAAATATCCAGTCCGAGTCTTTGGATATGTATAAGAACGTCTCTGATTTTAGCCCTAAGGTGTCTGTTTTTTATTGCGTATTTTTTAAATGTTATTAGATCGTTGTTAGACTTAATCGGATGTTTGCCGCTGTTGGATTACAGTCAAAAATATAATGATCAGTGCCACCCTTTTCGCCATATATGCAGAAATCCGTGGGGCACATGCCTCTGCCATGGAAGTAGGTGGGGAAAGGACCATGCCCTGTAATATACTGATTCAGAACATGGTCATAGTGTAGTGCCTCTTTGTCAGTTCTTGGGAAAAAATCGTGGACTCTTCTGCCTTGCAATTCAGAATCCCATTTTTCTTGCCACTTTGAGTCGACAGTTGCATTCAGTGTAAATTTTATATGGGACTTGGGCCACGGGACATGAATTACCTCACTCTTGATGTTAGTCATTGCATCCTTTGCAAGGAAATCAGCCGCCTTGTTGCTGTCGTTTCCGTTTTGGGCATTCACCCAATTGAAGGGAAGGACAGTCACAACCATGCCTTCTTCGGGATTCGAACCCAGGCCCTTCGGTATCGCAGTCAAGCTTCCGTAACCACTATACCGTCTGGCCGGCGATATAACAGAAATTATATTATCAATTTTAAACTTATGCGGGTACAATGTTTACATGATTCATCAAAATTTCTTGAAATTTTAATGGTCTAGTTCAGGGCAATCACTCATACATGCGGGAAATTCACATTTTCACGAATTCTGAATGGAAAATGGAATTACTTTGGAATCTTGTCAAAACCTTACACTCTAATTTTAAGAGTATTTAAATTAATATGTCATGTGTAACGGTGTATTTGTATAAAAGTGTACACCAAAACACTATATTTAATATATTATTTTATATGAAATGTTTATCAAATTAAATTGTTAAACTAAACAGAGTTGTTAGTTTAAATCAACTTAATAATACGCAAGATATAATACAGTTTTGTAAAGAAAAATATGTCTTGACGGCGAAGCTATCAAGCGCTTGAAATACGGCCGAGCGTAAAAATAGCTTAGAGAGAGTGTAGCCTAAAAGGCGAATGCGCACTGGTCAGAATTTCTGGCTCTCTAACGAAGTCAGTAGACCTTCAGCTTTAAATAATTTCTCTTTCTTCGTTTGCATTTAACCGCGATTCTGAAAACACGTTCTGTCAGGAAATTGTAAGCTGAAATTAAGAAAGATAGGAAAATCGCTTTAACTAAAAATGAACTGTTAAAACCTTAAGTTAAAGCATACAATACCATAAAAGATTTTGCCCAGTTGAACCCATATATGAGTGCCATATATGAGTTTATAGATACCAGTACCATATATGAGTTTGCCAGCTGATTTTGCCCCGTTTGATTGAGAGCGCCCCCAAGGGATGGGTCTGAGTGCCTCCCACTCCTCTTCTCCTACCACAATCCAAACGCGAGGCCTTTCGGCTCGTCATTTGTTTAGAGTGTCCTCATACCCCAAGAACACTATACATCTACAAACATCCATGCCTACTCCGGGATTCTAATCCGGGCTGTTCGGTATGGTAGTCAGAGTCACTAACCACTATCCAGTTTATAAATTAAAAAAATCTGATGTTTACACCACAAGACTTCCTTGTACGGAATATTAAATTATACGCATTTTTTTCTTGCATTTCGTTTAAACTTATTGGATTTAATTAAATATACTTCGCCGACAGCGCATAAACCCCAATAGAATAAATGTATTCTTTAAAATTAACTCTATTTGTTTACCATAGCGACACTCTGGGCTAGTTAACACTTAACATTAATATATATTTCGTTCATATTATAACTCATAATGCACAAAATTTATATCATTTAAAGAATAGAATTATCTAATCGTTGCCACATGTTCTATTCAAATACTATAATAAAGCTAGAATGATGTATAAAAGAAATTAAGCAAAAAAAAAAAAAAAAAAAGAAAATAGTTTTTCACAGACGATTGAGTGTTTCTCATTTAATTAATTCAGTTCTCACTTCGCGAGAAGGCAAAAATACATAAAAACTCAAAATATCTCTATAAAAATCTATATTAAAAATTACGAAGTAAAGTAAATTTTAAACGCTTATTTCCTCGAAAAAAATTCCAGAAAGGATTAAGCATGATTTAAATAATAAATGAAGGCGTTATCTTTGTTGTTGCGAAGCTAAGTTTCTCTAGATTGGCAACAAATCCACTAGTCTCCTGTTTCAAATGTAAACATCAAATGGCCGCCATTAAAAAAAGCTTAGCGGCAATTAAATAACTTTTAAAATTGCTGATAATTCTAAAAATATTGCACACAGATTTACTAAAGGCATAAAATCCTTAACCGGAAGATAAAAACAACATAATTCAATTATTTTTAAAGCAAAAAATGTACAATTTACAAACATATAAGAGTAAAGAAACTGAGATTACTGAGCCGGGTAACATAGTGGATATATATATATTATATATACGTTTGGTGCGGCCGATTGCACCAAAATACGAGGTGCACATCTAAATGTTATAGCAGTCCTATATACAAGATTTCAACGTTCTGAGGCTACTCGTTTTTGAGTTATGCGAGATACGTACGTACATACGTTCGTACAGACGCGACGAAAAATTCTCTTCAGAATTAATTTTAAAGCAGTTTTATAATTTTTTTGAAGGAAAAGAGTATTTTATTCTGTCCTCACGTACAGATATCGCGCAAAAACATCGTTAAATTGCATTCGATAGCGGTCAAAATGGATATTTTCGTTGAAATATGCTGCCTGAAACTTTTCGCGATTACAATACTTCCTTTTACTTGTACAGGAAGTAAAAACGTCTCAGCTCTTTACATTTAAAATATAAAGGGGAAATTTAAGTCGAAGAAAATGTTATTATAAAAATATAAATATTAATAAATTTAATTCATGCTTTCATGATCTTTGAAACGCTCATTACGCTCAATTATCTCATTTAGATAAGAACTACTGCAACTACGAACCTATATTATCTTTTTTAAGCAGACGTTCGCATGTGTTTCTAATTTGCCATTATTTTCGTATTTGTACGTTACTGATAAACATTATGTGCAAATAACAGTGGCATAGAGATATTTCATGCATAAACTTTTGCCCTTCTTTTAAAATACTCACATTAATAGTAATACAAAAAATATCGCTTTGCTAAGTTTTTTTTTTTCCCCCCCGTTGTTATCAAAATTGCAAAGTTTTTTTTTTTTTTTTTTTTTTTTTTTTTTTTTTTTTTTTTTTATCATCTCAAATATAACGAAAGATAAAAGTTCCTTGCTTTTATCCTTATTTTTCTAATTTGAATATGGTGTATTCTTTTACAATTTCAATAAAATTTGAACCTAAATTTATAAGCTATTTAAAATGCAGTTAACATTGCATTTGAATTCATGTGAACAAATGTATTTGATGTCATAATAGAGAAGTATACAGATATTTTTAAATATATTCGAACCTTAATATCTCAGTTTTTTTTTTTTTTTATATTGGAAGAATGTTGTGTGTTGCTTTTTGCAATATTAAATCATTTTCCACAGTTACATTGAAATTCTTTTAAATTTTTCTTATCTCTTATTCCGATTCCTAAATAAGAGCGATGAACAATCAATTAATTACCTATCCCAATTTCTTCCGAAAGCACTGAAGTATACTTAGTGACTTCTGGACTTTCCATCAGTAAAGAGTAGTGCTGCAATATGCTCACAAAAGTAAACACTCTTAATTTTACTCTTTACTGATTTCCCATCAATGAGTGAAATTTTGAAATAAAATATCGTGTTTACGACCCACGCTACTCCTATAAACCATTCATATTTGTAATAACTATAAGTGTAAGATCGTTCTCATATATCAGTTGGTTGATGTTACATGACTTGTACGAAGTAAGAAAGTATTGTAATCAAGAAAAATTCCGGGTATCATATTTCAACCAAAATATTTATTTTGACTGCTATCGAATGCAATTGCGTTACATCTGTGCGTAAGGTCAGAATATAGGATTGTTTTCCCCCAAACGGATTATAAAATTGAGAAGCGATTATTTCATGACATCTGTACGTATGTATGTGTCTCTGATAACTCAAAAACGAGTAACCTCAGAACGTTGAAATTTTGTATATAGGACGGCTATAATATGTAGCTCTGCACCTCCATCTTTGGTGACCATTGGCGACAACAAAAGTATGTATATATGTTACACCCACTCTGTTGTTCGGCTCGGTGAGCTCAGGTTTTTATTCTTATATGTTGGTAAATTGTGCATATTTTGCTTTAGAAATGATTAAATTATGTTGTTCTTATCTTCCGGTTAAGGTGTTTATGACTTTAGTTTATGTTCATGCAATAGTTGTAGAATTATCAACAATTTGAAAGTTACTAATTCAGAAGTCAAACAACAAAAATCAGCGTTATATTTTCAAAATTTTCACAGGACTAGTTTCGATGGTTTTACCGAACCACCATCCTCAGCTGCAAAACTGAAAAAATCTACCTCTAACGAAATTCGAGGAAATAAGTTGAAATGAAATGCAGCAAAAAATGCGTATAATTTAATATTCGGTACAAAGAAGTCATGCAGTGTCCGCATCAGATTTTTTTAATATATATCTTAATTCGTAGGAAAACATGAATATTGATTACATCTTTGTGTAACCGTAATTATTCCTTTTCAACTGTTCCAAATATTGAATTAGAATATGCTACTGGAAATTTCACCCACTTTCCATCCAATAATTTACACTTGAAACAAATTAACAACGTATTATGGAAAGTTCTCTCTTTAATAAGAAGTCGGAAGGAATATGTAAAACACTAGCAACTTACGAATTAATTTTTTTCTTATGCCATATGTATAACGAAGCCAGGAGTATAACGAGAAGAATAATTCCAACGATCACACCTATCTCCCAGCCAGCGATATGCTCTGTAAATATAATTTAAAATAAATTAGAAATTTCAAAGAAATTCATATCAAACAGAAATTGCGAAATAAAATTTAAATGTTTTATTACTCATACTTCCGAGCAGAATGAGTTTTCCTAAATCGTTAAGCTATTTAAAAGAAATTTTTTTCATAGCTTTAAATGCTGTGAAATATGACTTAAAATAAATTAGAAATTTCTGAGAAATGTATACCGAACAAAAGATGCAAAATAAAATTTTAAAGTTTCATTACTCATATCATCCAGCATAAGGAATTTTCCCAAATCGTCAAGCCATTAAAAACAAATTCTTTTCATACCTTTATGAAATTAAAATGAAAGAACGTTTCCAAATAATGCTTACTTAGCTTTCGGCTACAACCTGGCTTCAGCAGAATATCGTCAATTGCTATGTCTCCTACATGAGGTTTGCTCCTTGTCGGCCTTAGCACAATGGACATGCAACCTGAGTTTTCTACGAAGAAAGTACCATATTTCCATCTTTCATCAGCATTTGCTTTTTGTACCCACAGTGGTCCAGTTATCTGATTATCTAAGAAAAGTTTTAGACATTAAGCTGAAATAAATGAAACCCTAACAGAAATAACTAAACTAAAAGCAAAGTCTGAAAGCTTTCCGATATTTTATTACACCCAAACGGGAGTTTTTTTTTTTTTTTTTTTTTTCATTTACAACAATCTCGGCTTCCTTGCTCCGTGAACTTACCGTATTTGACGGCATATAAGACGCACTTTTTCCCTAAATTTGGTCTCAAAAAAGTTACCTGCGTCTTATACGTGAAGGACACAGTCTTATACGTGAAGGTAATTGCATTCAATAATTGTTTATTTGGCTTTTACGAAACGTGAGAACTAAAGGTGTAAGGATCCTAAGTTTTACTAACGTTTATTTTATTTTGAATCTTTACTATGACTTCTTATTTTCTACTTCCGGCCAGAATTAAAAGCTTTAACTTATTTATGCAAATTTGTCTTGCGAACACCAAGTACTTAAGTTGTGGCTTTTTGCCAAGCAAGAGAGAGGAAGGAGCTATTAGAAGCAGGCCGCTTGCCATAGTAGTTTTACTCGGTTGCTGGTTGCCTTCAAGGCCAGAGGTTTAATCCTCTTGATAATTTTAAACGTATCGTAGTGTTAGCAGTTCTATGTACTACATACGGCTTTTGTTAATATACGCCAATCTTGGAGTTAGGCACTTGTTTATTAATCCAAAGTTAGTTAGATTTTTAGTTAATATTTTTTATATTCTTACGTTCAGACCACAAGTGGTTGGTCTCTGTATTCCGAAGTTCCGGAAATCATTGTAAAGAGAGAAAAATAAAGGGTTTCGTATACCCTTTCGTATACCTTTTTCGTATACCCTGTGTGTATTGTCTACTTCCCAAATTTATTGAACATAGCTTTAGTAAGCTCCCTGTTCCGAGTCAGGACAGTTAATGTTCCCAAAGCAAGTAAGGAGGAACACCAATCCTGATAAAGGAAACCACGCTATTGAAACTTTTTTCCTTGTGTGTGGCCGTCTAAATAAAGGTGCATCTTATATACCATCAAATACGGTAATCACATTACAGTCCCCCCCCCTACTCCTTAGAACCAGGCGCGGAGGTTTAACCTCCACTCTGGCCGCTCAGAGAGAGAGAACCGCCCAGGAAGTCTCCCGGATGGCGCTGGTCGTTATTTGCTACCTACCAGTCGCTCGGGCTGCCCGTCGAAGCGGGACATTACCCAGCGAACCCGGGAAATAACCCCCGGGCTATTAGTACCACGCCGTGCTAAGACGTGCCAGACCCCGAGGCCGGCCAATAAGTGACCTTTCTCAGGACTACGTGACTTTTCTTCCTTCAGAACCACCAAGTTCATAAATTTTATACCCCCGTGGCCGAGACTGCCTAGGTACAGATCCTAGGCAGTAGCTTCGCAGAGTTCTCAACGTCGACCCCCGTCGGGGAGGGTTCATTTACACATAAATACACGTTTCGAGAGCATTTTGGCTGATGCCCCATAGAGCTAAAAATATTTAAACAAGCATATCATTAAAATTTCCGACAGATACCCTCTCCCGCTGAAAATAACAGTATTTTATTCCGTACGTTGTGTTGCCATTGCTCGCTTTGAAATCCCTGAGGTTCTCAATCACAGATTCGTTAAAGTTTAAAAAATATGAAATAGATAATAAAACAAACTCGAAATTCAAGATTCGGACTTCCAGGTGCCCATATTCGGGTGGAGGACTACTCTATTCAAAATTTGATGGCTCTAAGTACCGTTACTTTCTCATAAGGCGAGAAACATACATACGTTCATGCAGACTCTTCATTATCTAATTTCTTTAAATATAATAGAGGGTGATAATATTTGGTGACAACAATTTGAAAAAAGGTAAAGTCGTTTATAGTGGTTCGACGCATAATGCCTTTTCTATCGAAATATATGCATCGCGTTTTCCGCAAATTCCCATTCTTGCGGAAAACGCGATGCATAAAAATTATTCTATTTAACATCTTTAGCAGCATTCTTCATCTTTAAGTTCGTTGAGATAATTGCAATACGTACTGCAACTGCACACTTTACATATTGGACATTTACTGCACAACTCTGACATTGCGTTCGATTCTGATAAATCCAAGCACTTTTGGTGCAGCTCAACCGATGTCTAAATTAAAAATTCAGATACATTTAAGTTAAAATAACACGCCGAACAAATACTAATTTAGAAGTCAACCAACAAAAATCAGCAATTTTGCAATTCTTCACAGGACTAGTTTCGATGGTTCGGTAAAACAATCGAAACAAATTTATTTTAAGTTTGGTACCTTTATGTGAACTTCTCAACTTCCCCTCACATTCTCTCGCCAGGATGTAAATTTAAAGTTATTTAAACGGGTGAATCTCTGAATTTATTCAAAGTGTGTTTTCGCTAGCCAGAGCACGTTACGTTGTTGTTTCGCTGTTACGCTAGTAAGCCTCTTGGCCATTTCGGATTATCGTCACGCCTGTTAGATTTTTGTCAGTCAACCTGTTAGGCGTAACTTAGGTGCTAATCCAGCACTACTTATTTTAGTTTTTTTGACTTGAATTACATTCTACGTTTTAGTTTCACCGCAAAAGCATATTAGTGGAGCGAAACCAATTTAGCTGTCGGGAACGATTATTTTCTTTTCTTTCTTTCAACAATAAAAAGATCATTTTTTCAAATGCACTCAAACCTAATTTTGTGCGTTCTTTTTGCGATTTTTTTTTTTTTTTTTTTTTTTGTGTGTGGTCGGTATATGAAATTCAAAAAATTGAAACATACTAATTCAGAAGTCAAACAACAAAAATCAGCGTTAATTACAAAAATTTTCACAGGACTAGTTTCGATGGTTTTTACCGAACCATCATCTTCAGCTGCAAAACCGCAAATGAACAAGATAGGAAATAATGTTTAGATAAGATAAGAAAGCCTGGACAAGAATAAGCAAGTGGCGCCATCTGTTGGCGAAACCAGAACTAAAACATAATTTCTCTAAAAGCCGAAGGCAAATTTGGATTGGAATTAGGATCGTTAACTAGAACAGAAAGATTTTTATGAATGTGAAATGCCTCTAGAAAATCCAGTTCTCCAATGGAAGATGTTTTTTGAATAATTTTGGCAGCAGAAAAATTGAAAGTGTGATTTTCGGACCAACAATGTTGAGCAACAGAAGACTTCTGTGTTTCCTTTTTTCTAACATATGCCTCATGTTCTTTGACGCGAAATTTTAAGGCTCTCTTAGTTTGGCCAATGTAAATTAAACCACACTGGCAAGGAATCCTATAAATACCCCAGGAATTCATATCCGGAATGGGGTCCTTGAGTATAGAAGTTGGAATTTTATTGATGGGAGAATAAACAACCCGAAAGTTAAATTTCTGCAAAATATGTGCAACTTTATAGCTAATTGATGGAAAGAAGGGAATGACAACAGAATTTTTATAATCTCCTAAAATAAGAGTGTGGCTTTTAGTGTGTTGAGATGAGAATTTTTTAACTGCTTGATTAATAATGTTGGGTGAAAAGCCCCTGTCAATAGCTATTGCTTTTAAATAATTTAGTTTCTTCATCCCCTTCGTTATTCCTGGGATTTATAGATCCTTGCAGTGTGGTTAATTTCATGGCCAAACTAGAGAGCTAAAATTTCGCGTCAGACATGGGCATTTAAAAAAGGAAACAGAAGTCTTCTGTTGCTCAACATTGTTGGTCGAAATCACTCTTTTTCTGCTGCCAAAATTATTCAAAACATCTTCCATTGGAGAACTGGATTTTCTAGAGGCATTTCACATTCATAAAAATCTTTCTGTTCTAGTTAACGATCCTAATTCCAATCCAAATTTGCCTTCGGCTTTTTAGAGAAATTATGTTTTTAGTTCTGGTTTCGTCGCCAACAGATGGGCGCCACTTGCTTATTCTTGTCCAGGCTTTCTTATCTTATCTAATCATTATTTCCTATCTTGTTCATTTGCGGTTTTGCAGCTGAAGATGATGGTTCGGTAAAACCATCGAAACTAGTCCTGTGAAAATTTTGTAGGTATAACGCTGATTTTTGTTGTTTGACTTCTGAATTAGTATTTATTCGGCGTGTTATTGTGTCTTAAATTGAAACATAATTGACGAAGTTATCAATAAAAAACAATAAAATAAATAATCAATAAAAAAAAAGAGCTTCAATCTTGTATATCTGGCTACTGGGACATATACAAGCACTCTAGTGAAACAACAGTCTTCGCGAAAACTGATCACCAACTACATGGTAACTAAAAAAAGTCGAACTCTAAACTAGTGCGAGGTAGTGTCTTCACATGGCGAAGGTGAATTTGAACCAGTTTACCACAAGAAAGTTCACGTATTGTCAGGCTGCTAAGGATAATGGTTAGACATGTTGAAAAGTTTTGAATGTGTAAAATAAGTGCATATGTAAATAAAATATTTAAAAATGTTCGCATGTGTATTTTCTAAAAGGTTTGGCGAGATTCCAAGTAGTTGCCAAGCCTTGTGTCTTGATTTCGTTTAAAACAGCAATTCCTAGTTATTTCGTACGGATTAGAGTTATTTTCTACGTGAGACTTTTTATGCGGTCCCTATTCCCTACATACATACATAATAAAAAAAAAAAAAAAAAAAAACTTTTGTGTTACGAAAACTATTTTTTATAGTTACTCGGGAAGTTTCGTGCGATTATTTCTGCGTTTTTTTTATGCGATCCCTATTCCCTACAAACAAAAAAAAAAAGAAAAAAAACTTTTAATTGTGTTACGAAAACTATTTTTTATAGTTACTCGGGAAGTTTCGTGCGATTATTTCTGCGTTTTTTTTTTATGCGATCCCTATCTACCGCACAAAAACAGGTTGCACCTGCTTTATCTCCTAATTACTCAAAGAACTGTCACCCGAATATAGATGGCGAGTCCTAATCAGAATTTTTGCCTCACCCGGAGTGTTAAAGGACCAGGAACAACCAGGAAAAGTGTTAAAAGAAACTTCTTCTAACTATTCAAATTCTACAGGTGCTTGTATTCAAGTTACACATGAGCTAAGCAACGAAAACGCACATCCAGCGAGCCCTTTCACTTGGCTTCGAACGCAGGTTGAACTACCATTATTCAATGATCTTAACCCCTCGGCCATTGATGCCCACAAATAGAGCAGAACTCGGCCACTCGGTTGCTTTTTAATAGAAGATCTATAAGCTGCCAGTATCGTATAAGCAGTATAAAGAGCTTATCAGCCATTAAATATTTATTTGCGGCGTTGTTAATAATTTCTTTTTAAATAAGCTTTTTTAAATACGTATTAGAAGTCACTTTTTTGTAAACTTACTCTGAATCGCGTGCACTTCGAGGGTGATTGGAGAAGAGCTGTGTATGTAATACCAAAACTGGAAACAGTATTCTTGCTCGGAAGTATCCATTTCCACGCTGATAAGATCATGTCCACTGTCGTTCAATGGCTTGTAATAAGCATATCGTCCTGTAAGCATTATACTTTGTTACATTTTTATTTTTTTAATCGATATTATAAGTATAAATTAGAAGGGAAATTTTAGATGCTAAAAAAATAAATATAAATTCAATATTAGATGAAAAATATTTCGTCAATATCATTATGTGCAGAAAATACTGTTAAAATTTCGCATGAGAAACTTCATGCTCGAATATTTTTACAATACGAAATATTAGTACCAGAGAATAAGGAATAGTATTTCAATATAAAGTATCATATGGAAAAAGGAAAGTAATTAAATAATAAGTTTAATAATACAAACCAGTAAAGTCAAATTATGCTATTCATAATAATTTTTCAAAATAATTATCCATTGCTATGATAAACCATAAGTTATGTAAATGAAGATATGCATGTAAACAACTCTATAAATACAAACTTCAAGAAAATTACTTGAAGAATTATTTTCTCAAGTCTGAACATACCTAGCGCATCTTTTCTAGTATGGTCAAGTGCTGGTCCTAGTTTGGAAATCAAAGCTTTTCTTCCATCTTGTACGACCCACGCACCGCTATTGATCCAACCACAGAAGTCGCCAAAGTCACAGTCCCAAGCTGACAGAGCTGAAAGAATATAACTATCAAATATTAGATCCAGTAATATTCCTTAATCTATTCTACAAGTAATTGGCGAATGAAACTTATGCTAAATGTTCATTGAAGACTTACACTACTGCATTCAATAAAAAGTCAAAAGTTAACAGAATTCTGTAAATATAAGAAAAGCACCGCTGCTCAGATTTGATATCTAGTAGTAGAAATAAGTTTGAAATATACTTAGAATATTATTAGGGTTTTTGTTATAGGATAAGATAGCACTTTTATTATCGAAATACGTCTAACTCTTTCCATCTTATAATGGAGTATTGACATCACATAATTAGGATATATCTTATATAAGTATTGACATCACATAATTAGGAGTATTGACATCACATAATTAGGATATATCTTATATAAGTATTGACATCACATAATTAGGATACTGAAATAAAAAATTCGCAAAGCAACAACTTGTTTGGTTTGGAGTAGATTTAGTCAAGAACTTAATTGATTTCGAAGGCAAACAGGTACAAGTCCTTCTTCATCAGTAGCAAACAACACTGCATGGAATCTCGTATTTATACCCTATGACAGTAAAGCGAAAGAGTAGGTAACACCGTCTGTTGACAAAAACAGTAACGAAATTGAAAAATTTAGTTAAGGGGTATCAGAAACCCCTATACCGACAATGTTAAATTGGCCATTTTCGATGTACCTTTTCTCAAAATCTGCTGTAGACACACGCTTGAAATTTTTTTTGTAATTAAAGTATACCTATCTGATTATACTGAAATGAGCTTTTGAAACATTTTGAATTCTACAGTAATTTACAGAATATTTTTTTAGGCATAGTAAAATTTAGCACTTTTCTCACAAAAAAAAAAAAAAAAAAAAAAAAAAAAATTATTCTAAGTTTATCACAAAAAACGTCATTTCAGTAAATATTAGGAAACTTAATAAATAAGCCATACAAATTTTAGATACCTGTAAGCAGTAGTTTCTGAGAAAAGGTACATCGAGTATAAAAAAATCACGTTTGGAGAAAAACGCGTTTTTATGTAAAATTCCTCATTGATCGAAGCAGTTGATGACATATTAAAACTAGATTTTTTTACAGTTCTAATTTTCATAGAGATTAAAGAATGGTATTTTTAGAAAAGTGTAGAGAATTTGAAAATGCAAAAATCCGAAATCACAATTTTTTAAAGATTTTGGGGTTTTAACATCCCTTAATAGAATTTTGAAAGCGTTAGAAAGGACTGGAATGAACTTAAGAATCATTAGCTGCACAAGATAATTTTTGTGAATGTGAAAAGCTTCAAGAAAATCCAATTCTGCGATTGAAGAAGCTTTTTGAATAATGTTTATTAACCTAAAGTGAAAATATTGATTAAATTACAGCAGAAGTTCTCAACCAGTGATACGCAAGAGAAAAATGGATGGTACACAAAGGAGCAAAGTATTTTTAACTATCACATTCTAAAATTAAAACCCCAACATCCTGACTGAGTTTTTTTTTTTTTTTTTTTTTTTTTTTGATACTCTTATGCCGGGCTGTCGTTGTAAAGCACGCGACTTAGCCGGCTCTATGACTGAGTATCCCAATAGGGTACAAGACGTTGAACAGTCTGGACGGGCTGTGAGGAAGCGTCGGAAATGCTGTTTTTTGTCTAATATTCGTAAATTTATACGATCTGAGCTTTGTTCAAGAGTGGTGGGGGTAGTAGTACTTTGTAGTGGTGGTACTAGAGGTTTTCAATTTTTGTTTAAATTGCACGCGTTTGTCAAAAGGTTGAGAATCGCTGAATTACAACTATTATCTATCGAAGACTTGCTAATTTCGCCTTTTCGGATTAAGATTCGTGTTTCTTGATATGAAATTTTAGCGCTCTTTTAGTCTGGCAAATATATCTCAAACCACACTGACACAATATGCTATAAATTCTCCAAGAACTGAAATCAGAAATGGAATCTTTAAAAATCAAATCATGGATTTTATTGATAGGCGAGAAAAATGACTTGAAAATTAAACTTCTGAAGAATCCGTGTAATTCTATAATTCCTGACAGAAGGCTGAAATAATGTACAAGAATATTATTTCTAATAGCGGTCTGCTTTGATACTGAAATGCTTGAGATAAAGTCCAATTATAATGCTTGCTTTTTGATTTTGAGTACGGCAAAGCATACTAAAATTCTATGTCTAAAGAAAGGGATATCTTCGTGGCGGGCTTTCTATAAAAATCGGACCCTTATTCTTAATTGCAGAGGAAGAAAATCCCGACGACGTCCATGTAGTCAGCCATTCGCCGTAACTTGAATCCGAGTTCAGCTGCCAGGATTTATTGCATTACACAGTTTACAATTTTGTGCAATTTTGTTTACATTTTTGTATAATTTGTAACAGCTAATGGACAGCTAATATGGGCTTTTCTTCAGTACTCACAGGATAAATTTTATTAATTAGATGTCGCTTTGAAAAATACGTGAAAACATTTTTCCTTAAATGCGAAAAAAATGAAAGATGTTGCTTTACATAATGTCTTGGGGGTATAAATGAACTAGCGGTGTTACTGGGAACTAGCTTGGAAATTGAGTTGCATTTTATACTTTTGAAACCTCGTAAACCAAACATTTCCGAATACATTGGCTAATATTATATTCTGATTAATATTCCTATGTCATTATCTCTGCTATTGTGTTTATATTTATAAATAATATGTAATGAATTTTTAAACGTCTCCTTTTACGTTTTAATTACTGTACTCATAATATATCAGATGTTCTCAGATAAACGTTCAATAATTTGCTGATATATTAGCAAAAACATATTCCTAGACATAAGGGAAATTTTATATACGAAAATGTATTACTCGAGACTTTCAGAAGATTTCTCTTCTACTAAATGCAGAAAATGTACTGTCGTCGTTGCTCTTTTATTAAATGTAAATAATAGTATTTATATTTTTATTAAATGTAAATAATAGTACTAAATGCAGAAAATGTACTGTCGTCGTTGCTCTTTTATTAAATGTAAATAATAGTATTTATTCCAGTGGAATAAAAACATAAAACAGCAAAATATTCTTTATTACAATGGGATCAACGCATAAACTGGTAATTCTCTAATTTACCTACTGACCAAGAATTTTAATCTAATGCATTAATATCGTTTACACTATCATGGTACATAATGCATATACTCAAATACATAAAATTTGGCTTTACACAAGGAGTTGTTTCAACTGAGGTTTCATATATTTGCGGAGACCAAATTAATAACATACTCTGAACGTTTTACATAGTAATATTTAAGTAAACATTAAGCTGAACTTATAGGGGTTGGACAAAAATATGGAAACACCTTTAAAAAAACATGTTTCTTTGCTTAATATGGTGTAGGAAACCCGTTGGCATCCAAAACAGCTTGCAGTCTTCTCGGAATGGATAAATACAGTTCCTGTACGTTTGCCAAGGGAATATTATACCATTCTTCCTGCAAAACGGTGGCAAGTTCAGATAACGAGAACACACTTTTCATTCCAATGCAGACCACAAAGGTTCGATAATATTCAGGTCTGGTGACTGTGGTGGCCAGGGGAGATGGGACAACTCATCCTCGTGCTCAGAAAACCAGTCCTGGACAATGTGAGCTGTGTGAACAGGGGCCTAGTCGTCTTGGAAGACACCATCACCATCGGGGAACAAAGTTTGTACCATGGGATGAACTTGATCGCCCAAAATGTTCACATAACTCTTGGCAGTCATGTGCCCTGACACAGTTATCATGGGGCTAGCAGAGAACCACGATATGGCTGCCCAAACCATAACAGAGCCCCCGCCATGTTTCACTCTTGGCAACAAGCAGTCTGTATTATAGGCTTGAGATGGCGTTCTTCAGACGTAAACTCGGCCAGAAGTGGGAAACAACGTGAAAGAAGACTCGTCAGACTATATTACTCGCTTCCACTGCTCTATAGTCCAGGCTTTATGACTTAAACACCACCTTTTCCTGTTACGGGCATTAGCATCACTGATGAGTGGCTTCTCAATTGCAGCACGGCCAGCAATTCCCTGTTTATGAAGCTACCTTCTAATTGTTTTGGTATTCACAGGGTTCGGTAACACAACATTCATTTCAGCACTAACTTTTGCAGCTGTGGTCTTCTTATTTTTCGTCACAATTGCCCTTAATGATCGTCTGTCACGATCACTCAGGACACACTTTCGTCCGCGCTGTGACTTAGCAGATAATGTTTTTCCGCTTTTCAAATATGCGGAATAAATCTTCGATACAGTACCTCTTGAAACACCAAACACCTCGGCTACCTTGCTTACGAAAGCACCTACCATACGTGCTCCAACAATTTGCCCACGTTCGAAGTCTGTTAACTCTGACATAATGCAATGACAACCTCACATAACAGTACTCCGACAACAACTGAACTGTTTAGCACATTTACGAAGTTGTATAGGTGGCGTCAGTAGTCAAAAACGCCAGCGCCACCTACATATTTCATTAAAATCAATCTTTCTTTTCAAACATGCATTTCACAAGGTGTTTCCATATTTTTGTCCATCCACTGTATGTTCTTAACACTGCTGTAAAATTAATTTTTTGCAATAGTCCTAAATCTTAACACCATTGATAAGTCTTTATCAATGGTATTCCAAAATTCACGAAAGACGTAATTTTGATAGAAAACACAGCTTTTATAATTAAAAATTTTGCATGTGTTATTTATTCATGAAGTTGATATACCATAGAGTTGTAGCGATATTAGGTTATTTCGAAGCCGGAGAGAGAAAAAATGAGCAATGCCCTTGCCGGGACTCGAACCACGGACCTCTTGAATACGCTTCGAGCGTGCTAACCGTTACAACACGAAGGCATGCTAAGAAGGCGGAAGAAATATCTTATAGAGTAATTTATTGAATAGCATGTCGGAAAAACGGCCTCCAAGGCTTTGCCGCACAAACGCCCTCTTTTGTTGAAATTAACGTAACTGAATTTCTTAAATCTAACTGAATTTCGTTCCTACAGGGCTCGGTTTCCTCTTTCAAGTGCCCGTGGCTTTGTAGGTAGCCACGGGCTTGTTGGCAAAAACTCAGATTTCAAAATACTTAAGGGCGCTCAAATCCGGTTACCAAAACGGGAAATTCCCATGAAATAACTGGGTTGTTTCTCGGACTATATGGCATGTAGCACCATTTTATTGAAACCACATGTCGTCCACATCTATATCTTGAAATTCAAACACAAAAACGCTGGAATATCATATCGCTATAGTACCACTATTAACTGCTATTACCTCACCAACCGTATTTTTGAAGATTTCAGTGGTCCGATAATGCCTCCAGTCTAAGCTTTGTTGGTGTAGTAGCCGAAGCCGTTACGCAAACCCTGGGTTATGACACAGGGTTCAAATGAACTTCTAACTCAGGTTTTAACAATAGCATGAATTTTAATAAGATGGAAACCTTAACAGTTGCATATCCTGACAGTATGGGACTTTGATATATTTAGCCCCGTAATTTCAGAATTTTGTTACAGGAAAAATGCTCTATCACATTATACACGAGGAATGATTGTTCTAGCCGGCCAACATGCCGATAGCTCCAAACAGGAAAGTTGTTCCCTATTCTCAGAAAACCACCGTATATGTCTCCCTGTGTTTACTTGCGCTGAACTCCGGGGGGGATGATTCTTTCACTCATACATAACAAAGTGTCCATCTCCTGACCCTGATGAAACGACTTCTTTTATCTCTTTGTCCACTGGAGCGACCTTAGAGACTGCAACCGGAATCATTAACAAAAACACAGGATTTCACCACTGATATGAAAATTATTGTACTCTTAAATCATTCATCCTAGACAAAGAACCTTTATGCTCCCTTATCACATTTGCACCAGAGTATGACACATTGTTGATGCACTTCTTTCTCAACAATCACTAGTGGATTTTCCGAATCTCCTATGCGACAATTTTGTCGATTAACCAAGCCATCAAGATGGAAAATGAGCCTCGACGCTGAAGATAATTTTATTCGAAAATTAGCATCCACTTGTTTTGTTCCATAGTCCATTCAAAGAACTCTTTTCGCTGAGCGTGGTCAGTTGGCTTCAGTTCTTGAGTCTAGTGAATTTTGCAAGCATGAAGATGCAAATGTTTCGTGAGAATACGCTGTAGAGAATTTCTCGAAATGTCCAATTCTTGACTAAGGTGCCAAAATGATATCCCATGGCTGTCAGCAACACTCTCACGAACTGGTTTGATGTTTTGTGTTGATCGACTTTTTGGGGAACGGCCAGATTGTTTAAGATCACTAATTGATCCAGTCTCCCTAAACTTTTTAAATAATCTCTTTACAGTTGGTGAAGTTAAATCACCATGTCAACCATAGCGTATACGAAAATTGCGAACCGTAGCTGCCATAATTTCATTACTCTTAAAATATTGCTCAACAATGGAAATGCGTTCTTCTTTAGTGTAGCACTCCATTTTTAATAACTTCGAATTGTTTGCTGTGACGCTAGTTTCTGTTTCTCTGGCAACACTTTATCACACAAATGACTCAAAATTCAAATTTTGAGTGAACTTTCAGACACCTTTTAGTAAATGTCAAGGACATAATCAGTTACATTTGATTAGCATTCAAATATTACGAACGTTTTCAAGAAAGTTACGTCTTTTCAGAACGAAAATCCTATATTTCACTTTATAGATAAGGGGATTACAACTTGTAAAGGTATACTACGTATCAATAATATTTCACTAAGTTTTCATCAGGGCATTTTAGCCATTGAATACATGAATACACGTCAGGGCATTTTAGCCATTGAGAAGCCATTGAATACTTACGAAAGTCAGTCGGTGGAGATGTTGGTATTGTTGGATCCGTGCAGGAATCCGGCTGAATAAGTATTTCATCTAGAGCTATTTCTGAAGTTCTTTCTCTAACACCAATATATCGTATCTGCAAATAGGAGCACTTGAATCTATACTCATTATCATTAACGTTATTACATGCAATAAATACGTGATTGCCTACAATAAATACATTACCCTACACGTTATCAAAAATTGTCTACTCTATGTTTTTTGTTATTGCTATTACAGTTTTTTAAACTTTAAACTGAAGTGAGAGCAATTTATAATTACAATATTTTGAGTATTATTTTTAATGGTTATTTCTTAGTTTTATTACCAATATAGATATAGAGTTCTTAAATTTTTCAAATTTATATCGAGTAAATATGCACAGTCATTAGGATTATTAATGCAGGAGACGCGAAAAATGTGCTATGCCCTTGCCCAGACTCGAACACTGGACCTCCCAAGTGCTAGCCGGACGTGTTATCCAGTTACACCACGAAGGCCCGCGGAAAGGAGGGAGAAAATATTTTATAAAGGAATTTATTTCGAATCTTATAATTAAAGATGAGAAAAAGAAAACGAACTATTATTGCAGACCTGATGACGTATAAAGTACAGTTTTATATCTTCCGTTCTACTGGGCCTACTGAAGAGACTTTTTCATGTTTCGAAAGCGGTACTTAGGATTTATTTATATATATACCATTGTTCTATTACAGATATTTTGACACAAAGCCGGGCTTTTTCTGAAATGACATGCCGATTTTTTTTCCATATTTCGATTCTATCACTCAAATTATAAATATAACATTTATAACAAATATAGCATTTAATATAAATAATATAAATAATAAATATAATTACAAAATATAACATTTTGTAAAATGTGGTGAGAAACTTACTGAGAAATTTAAAAATTTATCTTAGAGCACATTTTTTCAGTTTGCACCAAGAATAAACCTTGGCGAAATTCTTAATTTATGATAACCTATTTCCCTTTCCAATTCATTGCGCACGAAAGGGAAAAAAGGTGCATCATTCATAGTTTCAAATAATTTTAACAAAGTGCATAAATCACGTTTGGCGTTATTATCATTTATAGCAAATATACCAAATTTGAAAACCCACCAAAATATGAATTCACGTACATCTTGGGAAGTTCTGTACAAAAGCTCAAATTTTTTCGTTCATACCTAGAAATACATCTATTTTAAGATGATTGTAAGAACTTTACAAATTATAATGCAAAACCTTTTTCGAAAAGTTCATAAAATTATTAAAAAAATTAAGAAATAAATGAGAAAATGTCTGTGAATTTTATTTGGATTGAACCTTAGTAATTTTAGTAAACAAACAGATATTAATAAATATATGCCTAATTTTAATTAATATTAAGGAACTAATACCTTGAGAGCTAATTTTTTAAAATCTACTCGTGCAATTTCTCCAAAACTTGACACTTTGCCATCATGTGAGTAGTAGAAAGGAAATATGGACAAAAATGGATATGCCATTTCAGAAAAAGCACGATTTTGTGTGAAAATAGCTATGTTAGAACAATGTTATATATAAATTTGATATATATCCTGAGTCGTGCTTTTGAGACAGGAAACATGCAGGTTAAATTTCGTCAATCGGCCCAGTAGAATAGGTGTCCTATACTCCCCAGAATGTACATAATATGTCTTTTATGATGTCTGCTAATCAAACAAAAAAGTTTTTTTGAAATAAAACATTTTGTTATATGCTTCATTTGATGCTTCGAATTAAGAACCGCATCTGTAAGTGAAATGCAGTACAATTATGAAATATTCATAATAAATACAGATTAATTTCTTACCTTATATATTGGTGGTAAATCTTTAACAAGTTTCTTCACTTGATACCAGTTGTCATCCTGATTGCCAAAAATGTTCACTTCGTTGTAAATCTTATTGTCTGTGTGGTTGACGAAGACCATTTTCAACAATCCTGCGAAACATAAAGTACAAAATTACAGCATACAGTTAAGACTAATTCAGAAAAGAGGTGAAAAACTAATTAGAAAGAAATTAAATTTCATTAAATTGCTCTTAAAAATAACGTAAATAAGTAAACAAATATATATTTTTTAAGTTTACAGACTAAACATGTTCTGCATTGGGCAGAAAAAGCTGTAGCTAATCATAAACGAATTCATATGCGGTATTTTCCGGGCAACCGAAAACCGCGGAAGTTGACCCAACTTTCAAATGCGATCAATCTCTTACCGATCTCTTAACTTCAGACCATCGGCTCTTCTTTCATTTTCTTAAGCGATTGCTCACTCTTATACAATTAATTTTCTATTAACGACGATGTGGAGGTAATTGAATTTGTTTGCAAAGGTATTCCGTAACAAAACACCTTGCTCTGAAGACCGTGGAAGTTGACCCAACTTTCAACGGGGAAGGGGTCAACCTCGGCGTTCTGGCTAAGACCTCTACTTAGAACAGACTCGGTACATAATTAATCTCCATACTGACTAGAACCATCGTTTGTTCATTGATAGATTCAGGCTAGGCAGGGACCGTACTGCATACTGGTACTGTCTTGTCTGTCCTTTGGTTGCAGAGACGTTACATGGTGAGATATTAAAAGGCTGTCCATGGGGATTTAGCTCCCGTTGGTCAACACTGGAGAATAGTCTTTGTCTAATTCCATGGTTCTTTTTGCGTGGGAGCCGTTTGGAACCCGCTGCCATTGTCTCGCGTTTCATACTGTTCATTGTGAGCATAATTGTCGCCCGGGATTGACCGCGGGGGTGGCGCCCCCTTGGATCGCCTCTAGGGATTAAGGCGTCAACAGCCATATTAAGAGCTTTAAGAAGCCTAGGTCAGGGTGTCCCTTCTCACTATACTGTCTGTAGCTTGCTACGTCAGTTTCTGATATCTCGTTTCAAATGTCCAGTTTTGAACACAGTGCTCAAATGAGTATACTTTTCAAATTATTTTGAGAAAATTATTAAATCAAATGGAATAATCTTAGAATTAAACAAATTCAGATGAAAATTAAAAATGCTTGAGTTAATACAGAATTGATGGTCATCAACGAGCTCAACTTGCATTCCAATTAAGGGGACTCATACACCTTAAAACCAGCAAGACTTTCGAATATGTGACTGTTGCAAGAATAGGGATAACTTATTTATTTTAAAAGCAATTACTTCCAACTTTTTACAGCTGACTACATAATATAGCTGCTTTCTGAAATAGTAATCAGAAAGTTTGTGTTGCCACAAATATTTTTATAATTTAATCCGATTTGTGACAAAATTTTTCGTCATGTTTCCACCTTGCGCGCACAGTTTAAAACATTCTGTTGCATAATTAATTCCATATTTAATATATAACTTTTATAACATTTGGAAACTACTGTGAACCTAAAATTCTAAAAATTTCATGTTAAATTTTTATTTTATTTTGAGTTGTGTTTAAAAAATGTATTTTATTAAAAAAATCTGTAATGTTTTCGTCCATAAAATTTTTCAATATTAAAATATTCATCAGATTTTTGGTTCAGTTAGAGAAAATAGTGCCCATATAAAGAATTCCTTCGAATTTCAAGGATGTACCATTAGCCATTTTTAAAATATCATGCGCGCAACGTGGAAACATGGCGAAATATTTTGTCACAAAGAGGATTAAATTAGAAAAATATTTGTGGCAACACAAACTGTTTTGTTACTATTTTCCAAAGCAGCTATATTATGTAGTCAGATGTAAAAAGTTGGTATTAATTGCTTTTAAAATAAATAAAATATCTCAATTCTTGCAACAGTCACATATTCGAAGATCATAAGGGGTTTAAGGTGTGTGAGTCCCCTTAACGCCCCCGCAGTAGGCGCAAAGAACAGAGCTCGCATTACAAATTTAGGACCGACAGACATCGCGGGTGTTTGGAGAGAAAAAATTGCATAATCTCGCAGTCGACGAAGAGTTAAGTAAATTATTTAAAAGAAAATTCTCGTGTCTATTAAGAGTAATAAGCCACAACTATCAGCCCTAAATAAGGTATGGTTGACATTTTTACAAAACAGTCTAGAAAAAAAAAAAAAAAAAAAATGTTGAGAGAAAATATTGATAAATCTCGAAATCCTTGATTTTTAATTGTTTTTAAAAGTGACAGCAATTCAGGCTGCTTTTTAACCTAATTTTAAAATTTAAGGCGTTCTTAATTTTAAACAACAGGTGACTAATAAGTCATTTGTATTAAATGAAATTTTAAGAAAAACATTATTTTTAGAGAAAGGAAACTTGTCGGTTTGTGACATTTAAATTGAGACAAAATTTAGTTTTAGCTTGATGCTGATTTTTATGGAATACTTCTATTCATTTTTTTTTCTTTAACTTCAAGAACGTTTTCCATACAAACTTTATAAAAACCAAGCCGTAGATTTAATCTTAATGATTAATTTTAAATTAGTTTAAAGATTAGCTTTACATAGTTTAAATGATCATTTATGGTGTTAAGGTTGTAAGATTCCTTTCCTTTAGTTTACAGCTTAAGTTAATTTACAGCTTTAATTTACAGCTTCTTAAGTTGAGGAACCTTAAGAACTGATAAGCGAATAATCGCTTTAGTTCGTTAGACAGAGAACAGAACTCAAGAAGGGTTAAATACCTTTATTATTACAAATAAGGTTCACAGAATACTCCTTCTTGGAGTTTACAATAAAGCCTCCACTTCGGCTTGAGCTGAGAAAAGAAATAAAACTAACTAATCTTAACTAAAAAATATAGCTGAAGTTATCAAGATTCTAACGGAGTTGGCTCTTTAACGCTAAATGACAGCGAAGCTGTCAAGGACCTAAAGTACGGCCGATCGTAAAAATAGCTTTAGAGAGAGCATCTCTTCTCTTCTCTACATATAATAAAACAAAGAGTCTGTCTGTGTGTGTGTGTCTTTTGTTCGCGCTGCGCGTAAGCTAATAGACCCACGGCTACGAAATTTGGTACATAGGTGCATCTAGACAAGAGCCAGTGCACCTCGAAGCGTTGTTTTCGAAATTCGAATTAGATTTTTTTAAATTTTATGTTTTGTGACGAAATCGCGTCATTCGGAGACATAATGGGCTATAGGAAAGCGAGATTTTACTCTACACACTCCATTTTCACATCGTCATGAAACGTAGGCACTTAGTTATTTTACGAACTTAAAATAAATTTCGTGTTTCAATAAATCGATTAAATACGAATTTATTTAACAAAGGGAGCTTAACACTTTTTCAATGGGATTTTTTCTAAAAAAGGTTATTTTAAAAAATGTACAGTTTATTTTTCTTTGATTTTTGGACACGTTAAACTTTCATCCTTGCGAATGCTTTTACAAAAAAGAATTTTGGAAGAATGATAATATTTTGTATTTTTAAAAATATTTTTTAAATGAAGTTTCCGAGTACACTTCTCACATCTTACATCTTTAAAAATGGGATTTTGGCAACAATTTTCCCGTCTTATTGTTGTTGATACATTTTTGATGAAATCGCATCATTTTGAATAGTTTCATTCTTTTAGAAATATGGGTTTGGCAACAATTTTTCATCGTATTTCTTATGTCACTGTTTTTAAAAGATTCGCATATTTCATTCTCATTTATATATATATATATATATATATATATACATAATACTTTTTTATTCATTTTTTTTATAAAGTTGTTCTGTAGAGTGATATTCTGCGCGGAATTTTATGTTTTTGTGAGTTGCTTTCATGTTATTTTTGCTTATTTCACTATTTGTAAGATATTGAAAAGTTTTGCATGATTTTTTTTCATCAACGGAAAGTTGGTTAATATTTTATTAGGATAATTAATATTTGTATTAAGGGATATAGTTTATTTCATTGTAATTTTTTCTATTGAAAATATAAGATAAAATATTATTAATTATACTTTGCTTTTCAGAATTTTTTGTTTTTTATATTCTTTTATGTTATTTTAAGATATTGAAAAGTTTTGAGTGATTTTTTTAGGAAGCAAAGTTCTTAACTTCCTTTATACCATTTGAGTTCTTAAGATTTTGCAATGAGAAGTTAGTTAATTTATTTATTAGGATAATTAATACTTGCATTAAGGGATATTGCTTATTTCATTGTAATTTTGTTATACATAATAACTTTTTTTATGAAGTTTTTCTGCAGAGTAATATTCTACGCAGTTTTTAAATTTAACGTTTGGTGTTCCCTTCAGCCATTTTCCCGGTGCATTTAAAAGCCAGACGAAGGCTGGCAGCGAAGCTGCTAGTAGCCAAATAAAATTCACACAATACTCATTTCTGGAGTTTACAATAAAGCCTCCACTCCGGCTTGAACTCAGGAAACTAAGAAATAAAACTAAGTAATCTTAACTAAACAATATAACCGAAGTTATTGAGATTCTAACAGAGTTGGCTCCTTAACGCTAACTGACAGCGAATCTATCAAGGGCCTAAAGTACGGCCGATCGTAAAAATAGCTTTAGAGAGAGTATAGCCAAAAGGTTAACGCGCGCTGCATAGAATCTCTGGCTCTTTCACGAAGTCAGTAGAACTTTATAGTTAAATACATCTTCTCCTCATTTGCATTCAACCGCGATTCTGAAAATATGTTCTGGCCGGAAGTTGTAAGCTGAAATTAAGGAAAAACAGGGATGTAACTTAAAACTAAAAATTAATTGTTAGAAAATTAAGATAATCCTTACAAGGTTTTCAATCACCTTGGGATATAAATTAAACTCGTAACAGAAATGATTTGAGAATATTGATCAGTCAGTGGATTTAAGGCAGCAATGAGCAAACTACGGCACGTTGGCCAAAACCGGCCGACCTGAAGATTTTATCCGGCCCGCAGATAGAATTTTAATTTGCTAGTCCGAGGCAAATTAAAAGAAATATATATTTATATATTATATATCCATCTTCTTTTCTACTTCGTTTAAATATTATTTTTTTCTTCCTTTTCTCAAAGGACTGATGATCATTTTATTTTCTATATTTTTGTTTTACAAAACATAAATTGACGGAAATAGCAAGCACAGACAGCTTTCAATCGGTAAAGTGTTAAAAGCGGAAGTTCTTTGTTAGTTATTGCTGTAGATTGGCGCCAACAATCGTTATCTCTTTCTCGGGGAGCAGACATATGGGAATCTAGTGTAGGTAAATTAGATTTCACATGTGTCGCCTTTTAAGCTCCAGCCAGCGGCCTTTTCTTTTGGCGCGAGGCCTAATATTATTCATTGCGTATGGAAAGATTGCGGACATATAGCATTATTGTGAATAGTGGTGAAATTAATTAAAAGTATAAGCGTAGCTAGTGCTTGTTTGGGTTATTCGTAAAATATTTAAACCCCGAAATGGCCTACTAATAAACGTAAAGTTGATTCAGAGTGCCTGTGCTTTTAATGATGAATGGACCTGGAAAATTTTTTTAAACAGTTGTAAAAGATAAACCAGTGTGTCTCATGTGCAATGAAGCTGTAGCAGCAGTCTTCAAGGAATATAACATTTCCCGTCATTTCACATTCTAAAGCATAAGAATTCCAAGTTGCAAACGAATGTCCGAATATGAAAGCAAACAAAATGCAGAAAAGTCTTTCGTAAAAAAAATATCAGGCTGACAAAATATTTATCCAAGAAGGTTAAACAGTATCCAGATCGCAAGATTTCAGTGCCATTCAAACAGAAGTGGATATTTTTACCATACCTTTCAACATAAATTGTGAAGCAGTGTATTCAGATTTGCAGCTTAAATTAATTGAGTTGCAATCTAACAATCATCTCAAGCAGTTGTTTCTAAATATGCCAGAGTTTTACAAATCATTATCGAACGTAAGTTTCCCAAATTTAATATCTCACGCCCAGAAAATCAGTGCTATGTTTGATTCATCTTATATATGTGAACAAGTGTTTCAAGTATAAACCTTGGAAAAGAATTATTTCAGAAGTAGACAGACTGGTGAGCATTTAGCCTCGTTCCTTAGAATCAGTATATCTCACTTCGAAGATCAATATAAGGAACTTTTAAAAATTAAATCGCAATTTCATTCATCTCGTTAACATATTTAAATTGTAATACTTGTATATTGTTTTTAAAATTTTAGAAAAATTTATGTTGGCCCGCCAAACTTTTTTTATCGATTTGTGGCCCGCGAACGAAAAAGTTTGCCCATCCCTGATTTAAGGGGTAATCTGGCCAGTAACCTTAATTCATGTTAACATATAATTAATAAGTGTGTTTAAATTGTAAATTCTTGTTTATGTTTATTTTCATTAATGCTCCATCATGTTTATCCATGTTTGACATAGAAGGTTCCTAGAAACATGGAGTCCTCCGTTAGAGCTTGGGGTTAATTTAATTTCGATAACGCAAAGTTTGCTTGGTGGTTGGACGGCCTGGGGAAGCTTACTGAAGAAGAAAGTGCTGTAGAAATAGATTAACTGAATAGATTTATTATTATTTTATGTGAAATGGTGATTGATGTTTATGTGCAGAGTTTTATTTATATCTTCACGAGCTGAGTTTGTGGCTTTTCTATAGTTGGGTATAATTATGTACTAGTAATTTAATTGGTTTACGTTTTCTGTTCCAATTTAAGTAATTAATAGAAGAATTTATTATTATATTTAAAATTAATTTTTCTTTCGACGTAACATCATGGAAGAGACATGTTCATCTGTCTCAATTTACCAACAATTCATATTGCTTTATTTGGTATCAAGAAAACTCGAAGTTGAATAATGTTCCCTTTCTTCTATGAAGATGTCTTTGGAATTACAATTTGTAAAGGGCATCGTTATTCTGACATGGCTACAAACTCTTTGTGAACTGCTCTGGATGAAATAGATATCTCGAATATGTGGTTTCATGAGCACAGGACTGCTTGTCACAAAACCTGCTAGACAATAACTTTGCTTAAAAACTCCCTGGCTGCGTGATTCACTGCTGCGACCAGGAATGGCTTGTGGTATCTTGTGACCTACCACCTTGCGATTTATTTTTATGGGGTTACGTCTAATTGAGTGTTTACATGAAAAAACCACAAACTGTTTCCCATCTAAAGGCGGATCATAGGGAAAAACCAAGAGACGGTTTGCTAAAGGATTCCCTTAGGCTTCACTGAAAACTAACTGCCCTTCTAGAAAGTGGACGTGGACATATGTCAGATGCCATTTTAGCCTCTTAAACAAAAATATTTAAAAAGAAATAAAATAAAATTTTTCATTTCTTATGAGCTTTAAATGAGCAATTTATGAAATACCCAGCATATTTATTTTGTAAGTTAAACTCATTTTCATTGATTCAATAAAACGAAATAGTGCCGATGGGGGATTCTTTTGCCGCAATTATTTACCATTTCAAAACAGACTTCACAATAATTTCAGTTGTGGTATTCATAAGAACTTTCGAGATATACTACATTAAAAAAACGTTTCTTTGATGAAAAATTTAAACAATAGTTTTAATAAAATTGTCTTTGCATAATCTGCAATAAACAAATAGAATGACCAGTTTAAATATTACAGAGACATTAAATAAACTTGCCTAGTCCATTCATGTGGTACCAAAATGTGAAGCAGGCATTTGGGGCATAATGAAGAATTTCGCTTTCCAAAACAGCTCTCTCCCAGACGCGATCAGAGTGCCCGTCTACATAAACATACCAACCTGGAAGTCGAAGGAACAAATATTTTTATTTTTTCTGAATATTACATATACACAGTAGGCAAAGTATTACTAAAATCTTCTCTAACAGCTAATTTCGGTTGCTCATTCAATAGCCTTAACTGGTTTTAAGACCAGTAGTCCAAACCTAGCCTGCCTGAAATTATAATATAACATTCAGGCTTAGGAATTTTAACTCTTTTAAGGAATTATTTCTGGAAGAAAAGTTTCGCTTTAAAATTATTTCTTTTTATAATAAAGCAGGCTCAGGTGAGAAAACATAAAATAATTTCTTAATAAGTTACAGATAAACTTAATATTAAAGATGGAAAATAATTATGCTTATTTGAACTTTATTAACTGTCATCGATTTTATAGGAAAGCTTTATATACTTCATAGAAATAAGTAATAAGACACCCCCCTCTGTTTCAAGGAGAAAAAGTAATCTTCAAGTAACCAACTCTTTACATTTCCCATTGAACAAAATAATAAGAAAAATATGGCGCATATGAAATAAGGCATTAGGCATTTAAAACACTTGGGAAAGCTAGGTTCGAAAATAAATTCTTAAGCTAATGACGAAAGAGGGTATAAAGTTAATACAAAATGTGTTAAGAAACTTTAATGAACCTAATCTAGAAAATTGTTGGATAATTTTAACAACGCAATAGATGGAGTTGTAATCATTCTTTCGTTTTCCGTTATACAGGGAGTTTCAGAAATTCGGTTACAAATTTTCAGGAAAGATAGAGTACACCTAGGCCATGGAAAATAACATAGTAATGCATTATGGGAAACGCTTTCCTGGCGCGGTAGTGAAAATAACATAGTAATGCATTATGGGAAACGCTTTTCTGGCGCGGTAGTAATGACACATAACACAAGAAAGGATGAATACGAACAGAGTGAGAAAACATGTTTATTATGTTAAATGCATCAAAAATGTTCTGAATATTAAATTTTTGCATACAGCAACAGCCTTGATGAGCATCTCAACCTGAATTCAAAGTATCCTTAACATTGGAACAGCAGTGTTAAGGATCAGCAGCTTGCTGAGCGGCCCGGTGCATTGCCCAGCAAGATCCTCAATCGCATTGATCTCAATCGCATTGACTACTTTCTCTGACGGGTGGTACGCCAAGACACTTGTGTACGAAAGCCCAGTTAACATTGCTGAAGAATTTGTTGCACCCATCGTGCCAGCTGCTGGGAAAGTCCGGGAGACGCCAGGTTTTTCTCAGAACATCAGATCTGCCATGCGCCGGAGATGTGAGGTCCTGCATCACTGTTCTAATTTCGATGCCGTAAAATTTAATTATTTTTTTGATGACATTTTTTGCGGGCGTTTGCTTTCATTTCTTGGTTTCTGTTGTACTAAGCATAGTAAAAGTGATTTCTCACCTTACCCTTGTGTCTCGTTTCTTGTGTTTTGTGTAGTTACTACTGCGCCAGAAAAGAGTTTCCGGCCATGCATTGCTATATTATTTTCCATCGTGAGTTTTACAACAGTTTCAGGAGTGATATCAAAAGTGTGTGAAAGAATTGCTGAAACATCCAGTACATTTATCGCTTATATTATACGCAGCCTTATTCTGGCACAAGAATATTCATTTAGATTCTCTTTTGCTTTACGGTGAGTGCTAGTTCAATCTGTCAGTGCAACTGATGACAGAAATTCAGAAATGAAAAGCTAATAATATCACAAGCTTCTCCTCTGACTATAATTTGAAATTATCAAATTATTATGAAACGTTCTTTCTGTTAGATTTTTAGAAAATGACCAGCAGTATAGTCTCTCAAATGTGCAATAAACGACTTGGTCTAATTCACAAACTGCCACGCGTTGAGATAGTTGATATTACTTATTACCTAAGCCGTAATTAGCTTAATGAAGGAGTTTATTTTCCTCTTCTCAAAACTTCCTTTCTGCAAAAGAATGATAAAAGATTTTTTTGGTCCAAAGGGGCTTTGTCCCTGAAGGACTATTGTTTTCGTTTTGCGATTTTGCGTTGAATCACTATAAATGTCCGTTTTACTTTTCAAATTGTTGCCACCAAATGTTAGAGTCTTGCATTATATTTCAAGAAATTAAATAGTAAAAAATCTGCATAAATGTATGCCTATTTCTCAACTTCTGATAAAACAACGGTGCATAGAGCCATCGAATTTTGAATGACGTAATCCTCCTACCAATATGGGCATGTGGAAGACCAAATTTGGAATTTGTTTTATTATCAATTTCATATTTTGTAAAACCTTAACGAATTTTTGAGTAACAAACTCAACGATTTAAAAGCGAGCAATGACAATACTTTACGCCGGGAAAAAAAAACCTTTTTATCTCCAGCGGGCGCGGAACTGTGTATCGAAAATTCTAAAGATACGCTCATTTTAAAATTATTTTGTGACATTTCTACTGAACTGAATTTTATGGTTTATGCACAAAGAACATGATATTTAATAAATAAAGGTAACACACAAAACGTTAAAAAAACGCCGCTTTGGACGTAATTTAAAATCTGAAACATTTCAGTTTTTTTTTTTTTTTAATTTTTATGGAAATTTACTTGCAAGTTTGAAATGTTTACTTTTTTAAACATTTAAAGCCAATTAATCTCCAGTTGATCATATAATTTAAAAATATTACGCACTTAATTTCGCATCTATAAACATCAATTTTTGGAAAAGCCTTACATGAAAATGCTTTATTAAACAGTAAAAGTTTCAAAGTTCGATTACATAATGTATTATTACATTCATTAATTAGAAATATCCTTAAAAGGTTTCGTTGATTTTTTTTCCCGATTATATTTACCTAAATATAACTAGAAACACCTAATGCAAATTTTAACGATCAGTTTAACTTTCAAAATGAGCTATCTGATAGTTTACATATCATTTTTTTTATTTTAGATTATAAATGAAAAATGGTAACTCACCTTCAACAGTGCCTGTTGTTACATCAACTGAAGGGCCTTGGCCACCAGTAGTCTTTGGTCCCGAATGACGACTCCATCCTACACTCAGACTGTACGGATATCCTAAATTCCTCCATGTGCAAAGATCTCTCTCAAAATTGCAACTACCGTATAGCGAACAAACTCCGTCTTCAATAGCAATATCATCTACTGCCACAATTGTACTTTCATTCTTCTTAGATCCAAAAATGACGATCTAAACAATTAGTAAATATTAGTGATAATATGTAGTCTCATTAGTTACACCAAGATAAAATATCCGTAGAAAATAAATTCCTACTCATAAACAATAGAGTTTTTATAGAATAAATTTATATGTGTTTACACAAGAACCTTTTTCTTCTGTAAGTTTATGTTCCATCTTGCGCATCTCATTTCTAAAGCGTACTGAGAGACATTAAGTTGTAAGTGAAATTTTTGCATAGCTATCGTTTTATGAAATAATAACTTAACTCATCTAAAATCATCTATAATTATTCAAATAAATTTTGTAAGCAAATTATTAATAGCCTTCTGCACGAATGTATGTCTAGCTGCTCTTATGAAATTTTTATCAAACTTTATGTCATTTACATAATCCTTCAATTTCATAAAGAAATATTGAAACAATTTTCAACTTATTTGTTATATCAACTAATTATTATGTAAAAATGATAAGACCTCGGACAATTTAAAAAAAAAAAATTCTGTACATAAAATATAATTTGCATTGTCATTTGGTGAAAATGTTAAATTAAATTATAAATTCATAGAACCAAAACAAAAAGCTACGAAAACCTTATTCTAACATGAAAAAAAAGTACCATTATTTTTCATTAAAATAAACCAATTTTAGGAAATTTCGTTAGATTTTTTAATTATTGTAAAGAAATATTTAGTTAAAACATATGATTCTCTTTGAACATATGATTTCTCACTACTTTAGTATAATCTACAATAGTATAATCTCATTTTATTAAAATATAGGAAATGTATTTTGACACGCTACTTCATATTTGAAAGAATAATTCCAGAATTCTGAAGAAAAAAAACCATCTGAAAGCTTTCAGATTTTATATTACGCCCAAAGGGGCATTTTTTAACGTTTCATGTGTTATCTTTATTTATTAAATATCATGTTCTTCGCACTTAAACCATGAAATTCAGTTCAACAGCAGTATCACAAAACACTTTAAAAAGAACATATCTTTAGAACTTCGGATACACAGTCTAGCGCGCTGGAGATAAAAATGTTCTTTTTCGTACAGTGCAGCGCTTTGAAATCGTTGAGTTTCTTAATAAAACTCATAAATGCTTTATAAAATATGAAGAAGATAATAAAACAAATTTCAAATTTTGGCTATCAGATGCCCATATTCGGATGGATTATTCAAACATTATTCAAAAACCTGTCGAATGTATTAAACATTATTCAAAATTTGATGGCTGTAGGTATCTTTGTTTTATCACAATGCGAGAAACACACATACAATTAAGCAGCTTCTTCTTCATTTAATTTCTTCAAGTATAATGCTGGGCTCTAATATTTGGTGGCAACAATAGGAAAAGTGATTCAGACCTTTATAATGTTTTCGACGCAAAATGGCAAACGAAAGTAAGTCTTTCTGGGCTGACACCCTTTGGAATAAAAAAAATGCAGCTGTTGTTTTTACCTTGTTGCAAAAATATTTTAAATATTTTTTCATTTTATTTCTTAACTTACTATTAAGAGATTTCACTTTTCCTTCATAATTTTTCTTTCACAAAAAGGAAATTTTTAAGTATACCTTTCAATATAAGTAAAGAGTATAATAGGGAATTTTTGGAGCATGGAATTATGGTTACAAAAATGGGTTTAATTTTATTTCGAAATAAAAATTAACAATAATTCACTGACACTATAATTTCCGTTACTCAGCCCTGTAATGCTCGCCTTGGAATGTTCCCATTGGCCGTTGACGTCTGGTTCGCCTACGTCTGTCCACACTACCTTTTCACCACTTTCAGAAGTAAGTTGAGATTTGATGATTTGTAGTTTCGTACCCCGATCGCCCTTAATGAAGTACCAGAAGTCAAGGCAATAATCGCTCTTTGTATAATTGTAGTTGGGGCTTATCAATCTGCCATTGCTTTCTTTTAATGCAGCGTACTTTCCTGAAAAAAGTACAGTATATGACAATGATTAAAGTATAACTTCATTATCCACAAGAAAGATATCCAAAATTCCAGTTATCCGGGTCAATTATTCTTTATGCGCTAAATAATTTTAAACTGGTAAGACTATTCCAGGATTTTAATTCCTATTGATTAAAATAGTACAAAAAAAAAAAAAAAATGAAAGGTTTCAGATTTTAAATTACGTCCGAAGGGCGTTTTTTTTTTTTTTTTAAACATTTTGTGTATTACATTTATTTATTAAATATCACGCTCTTCGCACTTGAACCAAAAATTCAGTTCAACAGCAATATCGCAAAATAGTAGTTTTAAAATGAGCATATCCTTAGAATTTCCGATACAGAGACTCGCGCGTTGGAGCGAGTCTCCCAAATTCGAGATTTTTCTGTACAACATTGCCATTGCTCGCTTTGAAACCCTTGAGTTTGTTAATCAAAAATGTATTAAAGTTTTACAAAATATGAAATCGATAATAAAATAAATTCCAACTTTCAAGTTTGGTCTTCCAGATGCCCATATTCGTAGGAGGATTACGCCATTCAAAATTCGATGGCTCTATGTACCGTTGTTTTATCACAATGCGAGAAAAATATATACATTTATGCAGATTTATATATACATTTATTTTATTATATATACATTTATGCATTTATGCAGTGCATCAGTTTTAGAGTCTTTTTGTCATTATTAAATTTCTTCAAATATAGTGCAGAACTCTAACATTTGGTGGCAATAGTATGAAAAGTGATCCGTCGTTTATAGTGATTAAACGCAAAATCGCAAAACCAAAACAATAGTCCTTCAGGAATAAGCCCCTTTGGACTAATAATGCAGTTTCACCAATTTGCAGGCATTGTTTTAAAAGTCTGATGAAAAAAAAAACTTTTTGTTTTAAAATTTTATTTTTTAAAATCGTGCATTTGTTTCAGACTACATGCAAAAAATTTAATAATGCAATAATACATGTATCATATCATATATTTTTCTTTTATGAATTCAACAAAATGTTTAATTTCGTTTTTAGGCAATATATTTAGATTCTTTATTTATTATCAGTAAATAAATAAAATTCATCGTTTAGTTTTAATGCAGTATATATGAAAATACGATTATATATTTCGTTTTAAAGTCTGTACCTGAATAAAAAATAAATTTCATTTCTGTACTTGAAAGAATTAGGAATTTTATATATGGGACTGTTACAACATGTAGTTGTGCACCTCTCATTTTCTTTGAAATCGGCCGTACCAAACGTATATATATTTATCAAAACTATAAAACTGGCGTTAAGTCTGACGGGGGTGTCATTATTTACATTTGATACTCTTAGTAGAGCAGTGAATGAAATCAGTTGGTGCATCAGTTTTAGTCCTTTTGTTCAGTGTGACCAAAAGTTAACTTTCATTTATGTGCACGGAAAATTTTGTTTTCCTGCCCGCTGGCCGATTTCCTTGTTTTTGCTCAGAAATTCTATTTTTTTTGTAAAAATTGTTTTGTTAACTGATTATAACTGTGGATGGTCTGTTTCGAAAGTAATGCACCCCATTTTTGTCTGCCGCGACTATCCGTCGCAGAGCGTTGTCGCTTGCACGAAAGGATGGGTGGAGTCTTGGGAACGCAACGCGAACAGCGCCAGTTGGTTCGGAGCTCCTGAAGACTCACAGTACCTGTTTCAGTGAACCCTTGTATGAGTGCTCGGTCGACATCAAGATGGGAAACCTTTCGAGCAGCGATACGCGAAAAGTTTTGTTTCAAACTTGAGAAAACGCCGTCGGAGACCTTTGATCGGAGATTAAAAAATCCCTTCTCAAAGGACTGCATTTGGGGATCCTACAGAACATCAAGGCAGCTACAACGAGGTTACTAAAGGACATCCCTGTGAAGGACCTCCAGGAGGCATATAAAGCATGGAAATCGCGGTGGAACAAGTGTGTTAAAACAGGAGGAATGTATTTTGAAAAATATTGAGAAATTTTAAGAAGCGATTGAGTAAATTTCTTTAAAAAAATTGGCGCATTACTTTCGGGACGAGACCTTGTATTTGGTGTTTATAGATTTTCTCTTTTTTACCATTTTTAATCAAGATATTTTGAGTTTTGACCTATTTTTGCTTTGCCGCGAAATGAGAAACAAACTGATTGAATGAGAAATATATTTGTAATGAAATTCGGTGAAATAAGTTTAAATAAACTGCAGTAAAAAATGTGTATAATTAAAAAGGCCGTACATGGTAGTCATGTGGAGTCCACATTAGATATTTTTACATTTCGCTTTATGGAATTTCTTAGTGTATTAACTTCGTTGGAATAAAAGTACCCTTAATTCCTATATCTTAAGTGCACTTTTTGGGTTAGCAGTAAAAGGCAAACCACTTTTTCGGATTCTTTGAATGACATGTTGATCTTAGGTCTCATTTAGCTTTAGTATTTAGAGGTTTGTTGAACGTAATAGAAATGCAAAGAATAGCATTTCAGTTTTAGTAAATTTGCTGCTACTGTCTGCTTGAAATGCAGCTGAAAATAATCCACGTACCTGCTTCTGTGTCCGTTGTGTGGTCTTGCGAAGGAATATGGTTTTCACTTGATTGCAGAATCCAGTTTTCCGGTTTCCATTCACAGAAATCGGCTTCAAAATCACAAGCAACTAAAGAAGAACATAAATGTGTTAACCTATTTTTCATATCAGAAATAGAAAACAAAACTATCTATATAAAATCATTTTGAAAGAACTTGTATTTGAAACAGAGTTCCTATAGTATGAGTTGCCACCCAACACGAGATAAGAATATAATTTCTATGAGTAATGAAACATTGAGAAATTATCTTTGCCTTCCTAACTAGTAATTAATTTCCAATGCACCAATAAAAATTCAAAAAGCGATTCCCCTCATTTATTTTATTTTTTGTTTTAACATCTCCTTTAATCTCTTTCTTTATTTTAACTCAAAACTGTAGCCAATATTTCCTTCCAGGTTTATTTTGAACTCTAAAATAGTACTCAACCTACTACAGATATGCAATAGAAAGGAATTTATTGATAAAAATTAATGAATCATTAAAGTAAAAGAGGTCAGTACAGTTGAACAGTATCCAAAAGAGGACTTTGCACACGCATATGCATCATATATGCACACGCATATGCATATATGGTTCATCTGATCTGAGAATCAGTAATAGAGGTTCTGGAGTATTTTTCACTACCCCAGGCGATACTACTTATCAACACAAAATTGGCGCATTGTTTTTTAACTTCACTTGTGAGCGTCTGGCGATAGCGGAGGCACTTGACATGATTTCCCATTTCTGAGGAAGCAAAGGAAATTGTTGTCCTCTGTGACTCACAGGCAATCGTGAATGGAAGTTTCCTAATATCACACGGGATCCACTTTCGCCTAAAGGAGCTTGGCTGCCAGAGCATGTCAGCATCACAAGTAACGAGAATGTAAAATAAACTGGCAAAAAGAGGATCGAAATCTCGACAATAATAATAACGTAAATGTTAACCTCAAGGACGCAAATGCCATGGCCAAATACAGATTGAAGGAATTTTCAGTTCCAATAAAGCACCAACCCCATACCATCAGTGGAGGTCGATTTAACTAAACTAAAACCACTGTCAGGCTTAGAACTGGATATCACAAAGGATTGAAAATTGTCAAAGAAGGTAGAAAAATCTACAGGAACTGTGATAACTGCCTGGACACAGAACTGAAAACTGCACACGATTTTGATTGTCTGGCCATCCTTGCTGAATTGCTAAAATTTGGTGCCTTGTTTAAGAGAGGGAACCTCTAGAATGCTAATATTTTGCAGATTGCCAGGGCTACCATCTGCACCCATGGCACTATTTGAATAAGCTTTATCATAGAAATGACAACAAACAGCAGCTGTAATGGATATAGTCTGTTCTATTCATATCTCACAAATAATTCTTCAACGCATTTACTCGGATGCATTGAAATAATTTTGTTTTGGTATACCCGAGTTAACTCGGTTGAATGTACTAAAATGTTAAATAATTTAAAATAATCAATAATTTTTAACACAATAAATATTTATTTATTGCGATCCCATTATTTCATTAATTTGTATGGGTACCCCTCTTTTAATCCCCTTTTTTTTCAAGGTAATTCTGTATTCATATGCGAATCTTGAAATATGCATTTATGTGCATATGTGATATTAAAAAACATTAAAAAATGCTATTTTAGAGCAATAAGTATTTTACGTTTTGTTGCTTCAGAAACTATTGAAATAGGATTACGTAACAGGCTATATTTTGCATTCGAAGTTATTTTTATCAAAAAACGCTTAGACAGAGTAAACTGAAAATTTCTTTGATTGACACTCTTACTTCTCTTGTTTTGTTCAAAATGCAGAAAAGAAAAATATTAAAAACCGGTTTGAAGTAATTTATCTATTTGTAGTATTATTATACAAGGTTAACTCAGAATACTCGTGCTCTGCAAGGTTTTCGGTTCAGTATTTTTGAAGGGAGAGTCAAAACAAATTTTGCTATACAAATTATAAAACAAAATTACTTAACGATATGTATCTAAATAGTCATCCTTTGCATAAAACAGCAATGATTCCGCAATGTAGATCTCTAGACACTGAATAAAGGAAATTTGAGAAATGAATTAACGTATTATAAAAGGTTAACTATGGATGCAATAGTACCTATTATATTCAAAAATTAAACTCTGTTTGAAATTATTCATTAATTACATATACAAATCAGCAAAACTAAGAATTAGCTTTTTTATATCAGTAAAATGTTATTAATGGTATATTTTTAATGTCACCCTCTCCGTGAAGAATTCAACAGGACCTTAAATATATTCTATATAATATTTAATAAAGGATAGATAAGAACTGTGCATGCTATGTGTTTAGTAGAAAAATGTTTTCCAGTTATATAAATGACATATACAGGATGTTCGGGAAAGAAGTGATGAAAAAAGACCGGCACACATATCTGAAATAAATGTGTTTTATGCACTGTGGTTTCCATAGTTAAAAAGAAGACCACGAATTTTTTCCTCTGGTAGACAACATTGGAGCAGACTTGACCACTCTATGTATTTTTTCTTTCTATGGCGTTTGCCGGAGTTGATTTTAGATTTCTGTAGAGGTTTGTGAAGAAACAAATGTCTGGAATACTTGAGAAGGGGGCTGCAACTTTTCTTGGCCAAATTACGGAAGTTGTACGCATATCAGTAATGCTTTTGAAATATGAGAAAATGAGTATCTTTTAGATATAGACCGAAGTGTAAATGGCCTACTATGGTGTACTAAAATGTTTTGAATAATTATCTCATCAGTAATGCTTTGAAATATGATAAAACGAGTATCTTCTAGATATGACCGAAGTGCAAATGCCTACTGTTTTAATGTACTAAAAGTTTTGAATAATTATCTTATCAGTAATGCTTTTGAAATATGAAATAGTTCTTCTAGATATAGACCGAAGTGCAAATGGCCTACTATTGTTTAAATTGTACTAAAATGTTAAATAATTATCTTATCAGTATCTTTTGAAATATAGAAATGAGTATCTTCTAGATATGACCGAGGTGCAAATGGCCTACTATTGGTGTAATGGTGTACTGTTTTGAATAATTATCTTATCATTAATGCTTTTGAAATATGAAAAAGATATCGACCGAAGGGGTAATGGCCTACTATGGTGTACTAAAATTGTTTTGAATAATTCTCTCATCAGTAACTTTTGAAATATGAGAAAAGAGTATTTCTAGATATGACCGAAGTGCAAATGGCCTACTTGTGTACTAATGGTACTAAAATGGCTTTTGAAATATGAGAAAATGAGTATCTTCTAGATATAACCGAGTTGCAAATGGCCTACTATGGTGTACTAAAATGTTTTGAATATTAAATGCTTTTGAATATGAGAAAATGAGTATTTTCTAGAATAGACCGATGCAAAATGGGTACTATTGGTGAAAATGTTTTCATATTAGCTTATCAGTAAGCTTTGAAATATGAAAATGAGTATTTCTAGATATAGACGAGGTGCAAATGGCCTACTATGGTGTCTAATGGTGTAAGATTTTGAATAATTATCTTATATACTGCAAAATGAGTATCTTAGATATAGACCGAAGTGTAAATGGCCTACTATGGTGTACTAAAATGTTTTGAATAATTATCTCATCAGTAATGCTTTTGAAATATGAGAAAACGAGTACTTCTAGATATAGACCGAAGTGCAAATGGCCTACTATGGTTTAACTAATGGTGTACTAAAATGTTGAATAATATCTTATCAGTAATGCTTTTGAATTGAGAAAATGAGTATCTCTAGTATAGACCGAAGTGCAAATGGCCTACTATGGGTGTACTAATGGTGTACTAAATGTTTTAATATATCTTATCAGTATGCTTTACATATAGAAAATGAGTATCTTCAGATATACCGTGCTATGGTGCTAAAATGGCCCCTATGGTGTCTAGTTAATGCTTTTATACGAGATCTTCTATATAGACCGAAGTGCAAAACGTTGATAAGTATCTTATCAGTAATGCTTTTGAAATATGAGAGAAATGAGTATCTTCTAGATATAGACCGAAGTGCAAATGTACCTTATCCTACTATATAGACCGAGGTTTACTAGGTGTACTAAATGTAATGCTTTTGAAAATAATTATAGATTATGGACTATGTACTGTTTGGAATAATTATTATGAGCTTTTGAAATATGAGTGTTTCTAGATATAGACCGAAGTGAATGGCCTACTTGGTGTATAAAATGTTTTGAATAATTATTATCAGTAATGCTTTTGAAATATGAGAAAATGAGTATCTTCTAGAATAACCGAAGTGCAAATGGCCTACTATGGTGTACTAATGGTGTACTAAAATGTTTTGAATAATTATCTTATCAGTAATGCTTTTGAAATATGAGAAAATGAGTAGATATAACGAGTGCAAATGGCATACTATGGTGTACTAATGGTTGATCAGTAATTTTGAATCTTCTTATAGACCGAGGTGCAAATGGCCTACTAGGTGTACTAAAATGTTGAATAATATCTATCAGTAATGCTTTTGAAATATGAGAAAATGAGTATTTCTAGATATAGACCGAAGTGCAAATGGCCTACTATGGTGTACTAATCGTGTACTAAAATGTTTCAATAATATTATCAGTAATGTTTTGAAAATATGAGGAAAATGAGTATTTTCTAGATTAGACCGAGTGCAAATGGCCTACTATGTACTAATGGTGTACTAAGATGTTTGAATAATTATCTTATCAGTAATGCTTTGAAATATGAGAAAATGAGTTCTTTTAGATATAGACCGAAGTGTAAATGGCCTACTATGTGTACTAAAATGTTTTGAATAATTATCTCATCAGTAATGCTTTTGAAATATGAGAAAAAGTATCTTCTAGATATAGACCGAAGTGCAATGGCCTACTATGGTTATAATGGTGTACTAATGTTTTGAATAATTATCTTATCAGTAATGCTTTGAAATATGAGAAAATGAGTATCTTCTAGATAAGACCGAAGTGCAAATGGCCTACTATGGTGTCTAATGGTGCTAAATTTATCAGTAATGTTTTAAATATGAGAAAATGAGTATCTTCTAGATATAGACCGAGGTGCAAAGGCTACTATGGTGTACTAATGGTGTATTAAGATGTTTTGAATAATATCTATCAGTAATGCTTTTGAAATATGAGAAAATGAGATCTTTAGATATAGACCGAAGTGTAAATGGCCTACTATGGCTGTACTAAATGTTTTGAATAATTATCTCATCAGTAATGCTTTTTGAAATATGAGAAAACGAGTAGATATAGACCGAAGTGCAAATGGCCTACTATGGTGTACTAAAATGTTTTGAATAATTATCTTATCAGTAATGCTTTTGAAATATGAGAAAATGAGTATCTTCTAGATATAGACCGAAGTGCAAATGGCCTACTATGGTGTACTAATGGTGTACTAAAATGTTTTAAATAATTATCTTATCAGTAATGCTTTTGAAATATGAGAAAATGAGTATCTTCTAGATATAGACCGAGGTGCAAATGGCCTACTATGGTGTACTAAAATGTTTTGAATAATTATCTTATCGGTAATGCTTTTGAAATATGAGAAAATGAGTATCTTCTAGATATAGACCGAGGTGCAAATGGCCTACTATGGTGTACTAATGGTGTACTAAGATGTTTTGAATAATTATCTTATCAGTAATGCTTTTGAAATATGAGAAAATGAGTATCCTCTAGACACAGACTGAGGTGCAAATGGCCTACTATGGTGTACTAAAATGTTTTGAATAATTATCTTATCAGTAATGCTTTTAAAATATGAGAAAATGAGTATCTTCTAGATATAGACCGAGGTGCAAAGGGCCTACTATGGTGTACTAATGGTATCTTCTAAATAAGGCCTACTATGGTGTACTAATGCTGTACTAAAATGTTTTGAATAATTATCCTCAGCTATCTAAACCGCAACTCAATAAACATATTCATTTTAGATATGTGTGTCATTCTTTCTCATAATTTCTCTCTCGGGCATTCTGTATTTATGAGACATATGCTACCCGGAAAAATGGATGATAAAAATCTACAAAGCAGTTAATCCTATGAGACCGCAGCATCCAAATATGCAATACAAATATTGAAAAAGTTCAGCGCTTCGCCTTTCTGGATGTGAGATAATGACAAATGGCATATCATTTAACAAACATATATACAGGTAATTTAAATGATTCATCGGGTTTCAAAATACTATAATTCTTTTGTTAACACATGTGCGTGTTTTTAATACTCATATAACGAAAGAAAATGTCCTGATTTCTTTTTAATTCATAGATGAGAATTTTCTTATGGCAGTGTAATAATTGATATGAATTCCGTTTCCAAAATAGCACTTTACAGTCGAAAGCTTTTTGTATTGCAAGAGAATGCAAAAGTTCATCCAATGTTATTAAGCAATGTGCAGGCAATAATATACGTTTTTAAGGATAGATTCATCAAGCCAACTTGATTTCTGTGATGGCTTCAACGATTAAAGAACTCTAGTTGCGTGTATGAAGGTGGATGGCCAACGGCAATTCCAACTGAAACCATACAGATGTTGCTACATTTGAAACCTTATGACTTTTGGAATCGTATGTAAGAAGAGTCACAAAACGATGATTTTGATGTTTGTCTAATATTCAGATACGAAGTGACCTGTAGAGACATTAGGATTTTTGGAAGCCAGAGAGAGGAATAATGAGCAATCGCCTTCGCCGGGAGTCGAACCGCGGATCTTTGAAATACCGGCTCGGTGTGCTGACACTACACCACGAAGGCACGCTAGGAAAGCGGGAGAAATACCTTATATACTCCCCTTTTTAAAGGGAGACTGGGGTTTTTAGGGGACCCAATCGCCAAATCCTGGGCAAGGAGAATTACCACCCAACACCCTTTTAGTTCGGATGCACTGTAGAGACATTAGGATTTTTTTTGGAAGCAGGCAAGATGAAAAATTAGCAAACGCCAACGCCGGGAATCGAACCCTGGACCTCTGGAATACCGGCCTAGCGTGCGGAATTACTACGCCCCGAAGGGACGCTAGAAAGGCGGGAGAAATACCTTATTGAACTTTCATTTGTGGGAAATTTTAAAGTATCACGATGTCCGGTTAGAGAGTATGGAAAATCATTCTGTTATAGTAGAACAAAACAGGATTCACCAAAATTAAGTCTTCTACATATTTCACAGACAAAAGTCCATTGAAACTTCATGACTTTTTTTCTTTGGCAGAATTGTAATATGGTATATCTTGTTGGTTTCATGTAACTTGCTATACTTCAGTTGTTTTTATTTCGTCAAATGAAAAATAATTTAGATAATTCAATATACCAGCAGTATGGGGCTTCGTATCTTGCTACGATCTTGGTCAACAGGACAAAGGCGACTTGGATTTGTTCAGATTACCACAAAGGTCTCTCGACCTTATGAACCGTTTTATATTTTCGATGAGTATGATAAAAATGTGAACCTAGTGTTAGCAACATTACAATCGTATAACAGCTGGTTTGATGACCCAGCGGGAAATGTTACAACACCTTCGTGTAGAAGTGGAGCGCGGCTTGGACACATGTGCCGTATAAAAAAAAAGGGTGCACATATAGAACATTAGCTAATGATTAAAATTTGAAAGATTTTTGTTCTCATTTCATGCTTAACTCATTTTTTATTTGCATTATGAGGTTTTACGAAATATAACGTTTTCAAACCCGGTGAATCGTTTGTAATAACCCTATATATTAGTATAGAAAATATACATTAGATTTCAGATTGTTCCACGTGTTTTCATCTTATACAAAATAGCAGCTTTTAAATCGGTTGCGAAATTAAAAAGGGAAAAAAAAGGCCATGATAATAAAACAAGGAGAAGCAGAAAGTTACACGAAAGACGTAAGAGCTATTACTACAGTGATTGAAAGCATAAAATCCTGCAGAAGATGCAGATTTCTACTATTAGAGATCTTATTAAAGATAAATGCAACAACTGAAACATTTGTATCACTTCCATATCAATCTATATTCATCTAATTTAAATTAAATATAAAAAATAACAAGAACAGCAAAGAAAATAAATTTCCTGTGGTACCGTTGTGTGTGCCGCCCAGACGGTATGGTCGTTATGGGGGTCTTCTGCGCTACCAAATTGCTCGGGATCGAATCCCGGAGAAGCGATGGATGTTTGCAAATGTATTGTGTCTTTGCAGCATGGAGGCATTCTAAACATATGGCCAGCCGAAAGTCCTCTCGTGTGGTTTGGTGAAAGTTCTCTCGTGAGGGTTTGGGAGACCCTCGGACCTTCCCCCTCCCGGGGTGCACTTCTCCAAAATTGGGCTTTTACTTCCATTTTGAGAGAGAGCACTGCGGGGGTGTCATAGGGTCTCCATGAGGTCCAACCTACTTGAGACTCTGGCATCCATTCTTCCATAAAATTCGTGGACACGAATTGCGAGTTTGACGACAGCGTGAGTTGGTACAACCTATTGTACGTAATTCCACGTAAGACAATATTATCTAGGGCGTTCAATCCGATGATAGCCGCACTTTGGGATACTATAATATTTCCCAACGATAATTCATGTTTGTGTGCTTTAATACCTTAGTTATATCATTTCACTATCAACATTCTCTTTAACTGTATCACTGCTAGATTAACTTTATATTATATCATCATTTATTGGTGCATTTTAATATCCCAATTCTTCAAACGAAATTATACGGTAAATAAAATATGATGATCTAACTCAAAATTAATACTAACATCCTTTTAAGCATACAAAATTATGAGAAAAATAATATGGTACTCAAAGGAAAATATGTAAAAAATGATACACTAAGACTTAAACTGAGAACTGATGCCAGTATTTTTAAGCATACACCTAAATCGAGAACTATGAGGATAAAATTAATTTTTGAACATTTTGAAATGGTTTTTGTGCTTTTGTTTTCAACAGATTTTCAGTAATTAAAGTAATACCATTCTCAGTATCATGCAAAATTTTAATTAAATGGCTTTGATACCTGGATGCGGACATTCATCTTCATATATTTCAATGTCATCTATGGCTATAACCCGTCCTGGAAAACTGCCAACTACACCTTCAATGACGATCTAGAAAGAGAGCTGATTATATGTAGAAACTTTATAATAGTAGCACAGTAAACTGTGAAAAGCACAAAGATAGGTATTAGTGAAATTTAATATCACAGCAAAAACGTAATGTAAGATCTCAATATGCAGTATACGTGGCGGATATCAAGCTCAATAATTTAAAACAGAACGTAGTTGCTTCTTTCATAGCATATTTCATAATAGTTCATCAATAAGATGTACAGTCAGGATTTTTGAAGTAGGAACACGAAAAATGAGCAATGTCCTCACTGGGATACGAACTTGGACCTCTCGAATAAGTGCCGACTGTCCTACCGTTAAACCACGAAGGCATGCAGAAAGCAGGGAGAAAATGCCTTATATGCTCCTCTTTTAAAAGGCGACTGAGGATTAGGGGACACAGTAGTCAAATCGTGGTAGTAAAGAATCATCATTAATCACCTTTTAGTCCATTAATCGCCACTGCAGAGGCATTAGGATTTTTTATGCAGGAGGGGGGTATGTGCAGCGCCTTTGCCGGGAATCGAGCCGGGATCTCTCGAATACGTTACCGTTACACCACGAAGGCATGTTGAAAAGAAGGTTTGGTTTGGTTTATTTAATTATGGCAAAGCACACTAGGGCTATCTGCCTAAGGGAAGATACCTTCGTGGAAAATTTTCTAAGGGAAACTGACTCGTATACACGTTACACATGGGGAACCACGAAAACGCCCATGCAGCCAGCCCGTTCGCGGGATTCGAAACTCGGACCGAACTACCAGTGTTCAGCGACTTTACCGCTCGGCCGCTGGTGGGCCGTAGAAAAGAAGGAGAAAAAACTTTATAAAAAAAAACAAAGATTACTAGTGGTCGAGATTAAACTGTGGAAAACTGAATAATTTGAATCGGATTCTGCAGAAAAAAGCACATGCAGCCAGAACGCTCGAGTGGTTTGCCTTCTTTCTGTGCTTTTTTCCATCAATAATTGTAATTTTCTTAGAAATTCCACCACGAAGCTATAACTTCTCTAATGTAGGGAGGTTCGCCTTCCTTCTTGTGCTGTGCGCCACTAAGCGGCGTGGAAGCACAGAAGAAAATTTTGAATTGAAACTTCTCTAATGTGTTTTAAGGATAATGTAATTCAGTTTTAATATACACGCGTAATATAGAGGTTCTTGCGATGAGTACAATGAACACGCAATTCCGTAGAAAGTTCATACGCATGCAAATGTCAGGAACAAATCGTCACAGTCGACGTGAGCGTACACAAAACACGTGCGGTCGGTGGGCTCAACTCAAGTCTACAATAAAAGGAAGGACGCAGATGCAATTAAAGACATTCACTGCAAGTACAAGTGGGTCTTTCGTGAAATATGGCTAGAAGAAATCACTTGGATGACTTCACACCTGGAAGAATGATGGAAAAGCTGCAGGAGGGGCGTAGTGTGACCAGTGTAGCTGAAGAGTTCGGAAGGAACAAAAGTGTCATTTCGCGCGCTTGGAAAACCTTCCAAACCATACGTACAACTGTTAGAAAGGTTGGTGGTGGCCGTCCCAGGAAAATAACTGCAGTGGGATGACCGATATATCGTCCTGCAGGTAAAAAGAGCCCGAAACCAGTCAGCAAGCGCCATAGCTCAACAATTGTATACAGCAACGGGGCGACAAGTGTCGCGGTTTATTGTGTCGAGACGCCCTCACAAAGGTAGCCTATTCGCCCGCCATCGTTAATGCTGCATCCCTTTGAAAGTTGGCCATCGACGACACCGTTTAGAATGGTGCAAGAAGCACGAAAACTGCGCATCTCATCAATGGAGTAATGTCCTCTTTATGGATGAGTGCCACAAGGAATTCTCAACGCCAGCTGAATTGGAGAGTGGTCGGTTTCCTCCCAGTAATGGTTTCATTCCAGGATCCCAGGATAGTTTCATTCCAGGATCCCAGGATAGTTTCATTCAGTAACTCACGGAAAGAAAACGTTACGGTGGTCCTGGAGATTTCGTTTGGGGAGGTATTATGCTAAACGGGCGCACAGAGCTCCCTATTTACGACAGAGTTTCTGTAACCGGAGATCGCTATTGTCAGGAGGTGATCCTTCCCCATACACGTCTGTTCTGTGGTGTCATTGGATCAGACTATTTTATGGATGACAATGCACGGCTGCACCGGACTGATGCTGTTCAGAAGCTATCGAAAAGTGGAGATATCACTCGAAAGGATTGGCCAGCGTACTCCCCTGATTTAAATCCAATAGAACATGTGTGGGATGCTTTGGGGAGGTGGCTTGCGGCAAGATTACACTCTCCGGGAACTCCGAACAACTGAAACAGATGATGATTGAGGAATGGGCACTCTTACCTCAAGATCTGTTGGACAGTCTGGTGCTGAGTATGGAGAGACGGTGAGAAGCAACCATTGCTGTAATGGGAGTGCATACCCCATGCTAAGGAATATCTGCTTGTTGTTCTTCCTCTTGTACAGACAGTCATGTGTAACGATACCATGAGTTCAATAAAGCCTTTTTTTTGTTTGATTCTATACTGTTTGCACTGTGTTCATTTTTATGCACCCATGGTTTCGTCATCGTTTAAATACAAACTGCTGTCTCACATTTCTGAATTTCATATCTCTCAGATGATTTCTCGTGGAGTTATGGCAAAAAGAACACCTGTTGGTTAAGTTTTGCACACCAGTGTATATATGAAAAATAATTAAACTTTTAAACTGAGATAAGAATTCTATTTAAAGACAAAATGTAATGAAATTATATAAGGAGGATATCTTTGAGCAAATACTAACCTTTCTTAAAGATATTGCAGGTTTTTGGAACGCAGTTTTTTTAAATTTTTTTTTCCGCCAGAGAAAGGGAAAGAAGAGGTTATAAAATGATGGATAAAAGGAAATTTGTGTGGTCAACTACAACATGATTCTCAACAGTCATAAAGAATTCTGATCTATTGCAAAATAACTACCAGAAGAAATATGGCCCAAAATAAAAAAAGTAATGGAATACTCGTATTTAAAGCAGTATGAATAATGCTGTAGATTACTGAAGATTTAAGGACGACTTACTGAGTAGGGATCTTCGCTGCGAATAGTTCTCATTCCAGATTTCCAGGCATAGCCTTGAGAGTTACTTTTCCTCCAGATGGTGCTGTTTTCTGTGTCAGTCCTGATGATGATGCTCAAAGTGCCAGCATCTTGCCCGAACATGTGATACCAGAAACGGAAACAACGTTTTTCAGTGGGTTCTTGTTTCAAACTCACCAAGTGAGCTTTGTCGCCTTTTTTCAGGTTTCTATTCGCATTTACGTACATGAAATATCCTGCAAACGAAATAAATAAAACCTCGTATAACCATTCAATAGAAGGAACTCAGTGACATGATTCGCAAGGCAAAAGAAATTTCATCAGTTATGTTAAGATAATCAAACCATATCCAAACCTGAAAGACAAAATTTTATAGTAATTAATTTAAATACAGAAATTATGAAATTTCTAATGATTAACTCTGATGGTTAAGAACAATTTGTTAAAGTTTTTGCAACTAATCTCGCTTCCCAGAAATCAGAACAAGCCCACGAAAGTGATCATGGCAAGGAGGCATGATTGTACATGTTCGTTGGCAGCAGCCTTGGGCACCTCACAGGTGACAGTACTACTTTGCTCAATCCTCCCCCCCTAATTTTGAAGCAGAGTAATCCGGGGGGACTTGTCCGAGGGTATCCCCCTCCTCCCCCCTGCCATTAACCTCTGGAGAGGACTTCGCCGCATATTTTCAGTCGCATGCCTCCATACCGCACAGACATTATTTATTTACAAACATCCATGCCTTCTCCGGGATTCGAACCCGGGGCTTCGGTATGGCAGTCAGAGACACTAACCACTATCTCGGTTGAGCGACACAGCAGCTGGTGGAAGACAAAATATTTCTATTCATACTCGAAAGAGGCAGGATATTCCGCGCATTCAAAAAGTCCAGGGTTTCGAGTCCCAATGATGGCATTTCACATTTTTCATGTCTATTGTTTTAAAATAACTTAATGGCTGTACTACGTATTAAAAAAGGCCTGACAGTAGTTCCTACTCAGAAGCATGGCTTTTTCGAAATAAGTTTGTTTTTAACACATCTCCGCACGCATACTATTAAAAGAGCTTTCAAATAAGAAAGCTGTGATAATATTGTTGTGAAATGTACAGGTACGGTGGGATAGCTTCCCCGCAAAGCAGTTTTAGGGTTGCTATAAAGTGGCATCGGAAGGCAGGGTTGCCATATTTGGCGAGAAATCGCCCATTTTGGCGACATTCCATGAACTGATGGAGAACCTTCTCGAACGAATTCTTACCGGTTTAGGCCTGAATGTTCTCAAACACAAGCCGAAAGCTGTAAAAATCCTGCTGGCCCGCAGTCAGTTAGTATCGAGTGGGTGGTCTCGTCTAGCGAGTCAATTCCTGCCGAGCTGACCGAGTTGACAGCCGGGCAGCGAGTGCCGAGTGCACCGAAAGTGTCTCGTAGTGTATCGTGGTTAGTGCATCGTCGAGAGAGCGTGTTGAGCTCTGGGAACGACTGAACGGAAGAGTCGAGAGCTGTGCTCTGCGTGTCGTCGAGTGCATCGCGAGTTGTAGCGTGGAGAGTCTCGAGAATACGTGGAATTCCGAGAAGGACCGAGCAGAGTCGGGAGCTGTAATCTGGTGCTTTGCAGTAAAGCTGTGTTCACCGTGATAGCCTGATAGTGTGAAAGCTGTGTCGCTGATCGTGCCAGCGTGTTTATAACAGTTTGACGACTGTAAACAGGATTTTGGAGCTGTCCGATTAATACCGGCTAAAAAGAGTGTTTGGATCCTTCATCAAGTAGTGTCGTCATTATTCACTCCAAATCCATACAAACCCTGTACGAACGTGAAAGAAGAAAATAGCGTAACAACTGATGTCAGAAAAAGGAAAAAACGGAACCATATTGTGTTGTGTATAAAATGTTAACTTGAAATGGAAACTTCTGAGAGCTCTATGTATGAGCAATTTTTTTTTTCTAATAGCACAGTTAGATATATTCCACAATTCAAAGAAATTCTGAATGAGAAGTTTGCATAAAAAGAAGAAAATGAACTTTACCTCCTTTCCCAGTATGATCAGCTTTTGGACCAATTTTCCAACTCGGTATTTTGCCTAAAGACCAAGTGATGGGGGAGAAGTTGTTATCTGGATACCAGTCACATTCGTCTCTATCAAATGTGCAATTCAGAGCTGCAAATAAAATTAAAAAAAATGATATCGAAAGACTGTTACTATTCGCATATATTCTAAGCATTTTATCTGAAACAGTTCTCAAACAAAATGCTTCGTGGAGAAAATAAAGTTGGCTATTTTGACAACAGTAAAACGAAATCTTTTATTCAATTGAAACAAAAAGTTAAAAAGAAACTCTTATTCATGAACAAAAAGCGCTGAAAATTAGTAAAGTGATCGCGTAAATAATTTAATATAAATAATACCAGAGATTCCATTTTGTTTTATTAAAGATGCCAGAAATACTCTCATGGAAATAAGCAAACGTTTGTTCTTCCTTGTTACGTTGTTGATAGTAACGGCGTGGTAAAACTACTAGGTAAAAAAAAAAAAAAAAAAAAAAAAAAAAAAAAAAAAAAAAAAAATAAAGATTAAAACGACAAATAGATAAAGATAAAAGGTAAAGATAAAAAGATAAATAAAGATAAAAGGATAAAAATAAGATAAAAAGATAAAAAGATAAAGATAAAAAGAAGTAAAAGTATTGGCGATATACCATGAGTCAACTGGTAATGCCTTCCCATATTACTAACCCTAAAACAAATTGCAAGCTTTATAAGAGTTTGCAAAGAAAGGTTGAGGAGATGAGCATTTAAAAGCTTTCCAAAGAATCTAGAGTTTGCCTTTTATGGTATATCATGATATATCACCGGACACTCCGCATTCAGTATTTATAAAAAAGATTGCAATATAGTTTGAATACAATTCGAAATTCACAAACTAAACAGAGAACAGTTGTTTTGATGTAACAAAAATAACACATAATGAGATAAATACTATAATAAGTATTAGGAACACAATGTAATAATGAAATGTAGTAATAATACTAAAGAAATGTTCATGGGGTCAAATCATTTGAGAATAACATTTAAAAATATTTTGAGTAGGGATGTGAGAGCTTAGGCTTTGGGAATGCAAAAATTGGGAGTATAGGAAATAATTTTGACAAGAAACCGACGAATTTAAAAAAGGTACTTCAAATCCTGTGCTGCAGCAGGTTATTAGAGTTTACAAAGTTAACAAACGGAATCGTTATCGTTTTGAACATATTCACAAGATGTAAAATTTCATTAAATTTATGCTGCATGAGGAATTTATACTTCACAAAGACGTAGGCCGTAGAAAAAAGTCGTTTTATATTTTTTTAACTAGGGTACTGATGTTTGTCTTTAATTAAAAACCTTCAGAATGCCAGGAGTTCAGTTTGTAGAGATTTTTTGTAATTATCCTCAGTTAAGGAGCATAAGAAAGTGCAATAATCAGAGTTCCCTGTTCCCCACATTACAGATGTCGGAGTTTACCACATTTGCGTAGAAATAGGTGGGGATCATAGGACTAATAAGGAAGTCAAAAACTGTCATAAATAACCTCGGATACTCGAAGAGTCACAGGGAAGATACTACCAATGATTAGATGACGCTACAGAAAACCGAATTACCGAAAACCATGAATGACTTACGGAGGACAGAATACCAGATATCAACTCTTGTCCTGGCTATATAAATTTCGGGAATTCAAGTCCATACTCAGGAGACCATCTAAGCGGGAGCAACCCCCGCTGTGTCCTCCTTGCTTTATACAAAGCATTGGATGGACAGTGTGTTAGACAAAATTAAATTTAATGACAGCTTTTGTCCCGCGCAGTCGCTTCAATTATATTCGTATGGGTGTTCCATCAGCTGTGTCATTATCCATTAGAGAACCGAATGTGGCCAAAGCACTTAGGATAGCCCCAACACCTAGCAATGTTGCGACCCCACAGACAAGGGGCAGACAAGACAATAGTATATGATCCCTGCAGAGCCTGTACCATGCCCTGAATCAATGAAGGTTCTTGGATACTGTAGTGGTTATCCTGGGGTTCTACCAGATTAAAGCGGCACTTCTCAGTGACCTGAGCGAGTCCCCGGGGGGCGCATGACATGAAATACAGCAAGTGAATCCTAGAACAGAAGAAAATCAGTAGAAGAGTAGCCTAAGTTCCTGAGAGGCTTGGAGAGAAAATAAAAAGGTGTCAGTATAGGTGTCGAAATCTGATATGGAGGTTCTAATCCTGAGAAGACTGATTTTATACACTCGCGGTCGAGACTGCCTGACTGTAGATCCCTGCAAGTAACTGCAGGTAACAGCTTTACCTGCGTCGACCCCCGGCGGGAAACCTTACGGAGGGCAAAATCATTTCAGGAACTTGATGTGATGCATAGTGATTAGAAAAGACACATTTCTAGAAGTTCGGTTTAATTATGCCCTTTTACGCTTAATCTATATTAGAAACTATGGGTTAAAATCTGTATGTATCAGTATAAAAAGGGCATTATTAGCATAAATCGAATTGAATATAATTTAATTAATGTTTCTTTCAAATGTAAACAACAGAACGTGGAGGTTAAAAACAAAGAAAAGCATATTGATTTGTAAATTCAGAACTTAATCTATTACGTACATTCAGTATATGTCTTTGTAGGATCACAGTTGACGTAATTGATGTTGTCAATAGCAATATTCTCATCTGATCTGTTAGAGATAAGGGACGAACTCAGGTAACCTCTGAATTCGATCTGCAATACAATAAAGAAAATTAATAAGTATATCAAAGGTAGATATTCAAATATTTAGAAAATACGACGTAGAAATTGTAATAGAAAAGAAACTTCCTGTAAAAAAAGTATCGCTAAAGTTAAAAATATTATAATATCTGAAAATCCAAAAGACTGAGCTGTGATTTTTTTTAGAATGAATTAAGATGAAGTTAAGGGATTTCGGTTTCTGGATACATTTCAAATGATATACAAAATAACTAATTCTTCTAAATTACATTTAGATAATGATCTTTAAAGCAGGTTAAGAATTAAAGCAAATAATAACTTATTTCATAGAAGGAAAAGGTACGACGCATGTTAAGGTAAACAAAAATGTTTCTTATCATTAACAACAGCTAGTTTCTAAATATGTATATTACTTGCATTTTTATACTTTATCTCTGAGATGTCCTAAAAAATACATACTACTTTAAACCAAAATAAAGTAATAGTAGTGATTGCATCTTGTGTATAAGCGCATACATTCTTGAAAGCATGTTTCTCATTAAGGTAGAGTTAAATGGGCGCATAGAAATGTACAATTTCTCCTTGATCCACATTAAATTTCAAATCTGAAGTTTCATGGACGTAATATATACTGAAAAAATATTTATATTGGCAAATTTATTTTTAATATGTTGATTGTTTAATTTTTAACATTAAATATTGACATTAACACTCTGCAAGACAGTCTCAAATATTTAGAAAGTAACTTTTACATAAACGTAACTATTAGCTTGAAATAATCTAAGCATTTATCACAGAACATATTCCTAAATATTTGCTAAATAAAAAAAAAGACATTGTGTGGCCCCGTGTTCTAATACAGATTTTAAATTATCCCTTGTATGTAAAGAAGCTGACCAACTTTGACTTAGGTGCAGGTCCTGTATGTTAGCTACAGCAATAATCTGGGCAATAAATGACCGGTAAAAGTAATGTTTGGACTGTAGATTTAATGTCAAGATCTCGAGAGTAAGCTAAATACTAAATAAAGTAATCTTCTAGAATATCCAGATAAGATATACCAAATAAAATAATAGAGAAGAATAGAAGGGAAGATTTTTGTATTCAAATCTAGCAAAATTAAAGATACTAATCAAGATATTCTTCGTGAATCTGGGAAAAGATGTGTTATTGTAAGAAAAAATATTTCATAAAGTTGTAGGGATTTATATTTATTTTAACTAATAATTTAAAGTTTTATTTGAAACTTTCCTATAAGCCATCATTCCCCTAATTGTCAGTGCCAGAATAGTTAAATGTTGTAGCGCGCGTGAACAAATGCAAATTGTCTATTGAAGGAAGTAGTTAAAAGCCGAGTTTTGGTAGAAGAAAGAGAGAGTTAGGTTCTAGCTGCCGTCTCTGACGTAGGTACGTTTGCTTATTGCTGGTTCAAAGTGGCTTAATTGCATTGCTTTGCAGCCACTAGTTTAGAAGGGGGTTGGAATTAAGGGATCTCGCTGAGCCCTGTAGGCTATGCTAGGAGAGTGAAGCAAATGCTGCTCCACTCCCACTCTCCAAAAAATATAGTTAATAAGTTAAATTAAAACTTACTATTTACTTGCCTTTTTAGTATTATTTATATATTTTTTATAAATACAGTACAAAGTCCATAATCCGGACGTCCATTATCCGGAATGATCTATAATTCGGACCTCAAAACCCCAAACTTTACGTATGCGCGCGTTGAAAATGTTTAATAAAGTAAACAAATAAATATTAAGCTTTTTTTTTTTTTTTTTTTTTTTGGTAAAACTTGATACCTGTTGCCTTCTATGCGGCAATAAAAGTTATGCACAGCGCTTGTTAATATTTCAACTTTTAGTTTCAATTATCTGACTTTCAGTTTAAGTAAAGGCGAAGTTTGTTAGCGTCGAGTTGACGCATTGTAAATCTTAAAGAGTTAATAAAGGGTACGTGAACCCTTCTTTTGTGTAGTTTCGTGCTACTCCAGCATACAGATAGAAGTTAACCCACCTCTACTTTTGTAAAGACAAAGTAAAAGAAAAAAAAATCACTTTAAAATAGTTTCTTAATGCTATGAAATAAGTGATCTCGTTTGATACACGCTTTTTTTTTTTTTTTTTTTTACTACAAGTTATACACGCTAAAAGAACACATTCTTTCGTTATCAATAAAATGAGTCAAAAAGAAAATTAGAAATTAAAATTTTAAACGTTTAGCTTGTAGGGTTTATATTTATTTTAACTAACATTTATTTTAAGTTTAAACTATCTTTCCTGTCAAGCCTTACTTTCCCCTGGAATTGCCAATGCCAGAGTATGTAAATTTTAGTAGAACGCGGAAGGATTCGAATTGTCAGCGGAAGTAATCTGAGTTAAATAGAAGGGAAACGAGTTCGAAAGTGTGCTTTCTTGCTTCACGAGCGTGGAGGTGGCTAGTTAAAAATTGAAGAACCACGCGTTTCGGCCTGTGTGCTTGCCTCGGCAGATTGTTAAATCTTTCAACGTAATATTCAGAAGTTTTTGCTGAATTATCAGCGGTATCATAGAACGCGGTTGAGGTTAGTTACGTTTAGAGAGCCTCGTAGGTTAGTTGCACTTGTTACTATTCTTTTTTTTTAGTTTCTATTTTTATTTTACCGCCGGGTCGGCGTAGTTTGTGAGCGTCAAGAGCACGCATTTGTAATTTCTAAAGTTGAATAAAAAGGGATTTAAGCCCTTCTCAAGACTTTGTCTACTTTCCAGTTCTCAGCAGTCACCACTATTGTTGCATGCAGGTTAGAAGCGCGCAACATTACAAGCTCTTGGAATTATGTTTCAGCAAGAAATATCGCATATAGACAAATAATTACTGCACCAAATTCTAAAAACCACTTGAAAATTTCTCCTAAAAATTCAATTATTTATGTTTGACTTTTGAATTAGTATTTGTTCAGCGTGTTATTGTGTCTTAATTATTTATGTTGCATTCAATTTTACTTTTATGTACCTATGAAGGAAAGGAATTAAAAAAATTATTATGGTTTAATTAAAAGAATGCATAAAAATGTTATTCTACAAGGAAAAGTTAAACGCAGTATTGTTTGGTTTACGTTCGGTTATCAACTGAAACATTGAGAAATTCTCCTTTTGTGAATTCTTGTATTGCTGCGGCCTAAATTAAAGTTTAGTAATTGTGAGGATAAAAGTGCTGTTCTATTTTCGGAAATAGTTGCTAATGGCATGAAATGTCTCGATGATAAACCATCATGTTCGTGTACCAAAATTGCTAAAAAAAGATCTAAAAAGCAAGTTCCAGATAATCCTGATAATGCCGATGGCTTCGTATCACCTAAGAAACTTCCGAGGCATCTTAAAATATTGAAATCAAATGTTGAAATTCACCAAAGTATTAATTTTGAAGTGTTAAACAACATCAATATTCAGAATACTGATCCTAATGTTAGTATTAATGCTATTGATAATAATAACCCTCATGGATGCAACCTCAATCTCACAACCTGAAAGGTTCGTATTAAACCGATAATGATAATTCCTTCGATGATTTTTTTTAGTACGTCAAGAAACTTAATGTTGATACTTGCATGTTTGTTTAATACAGGCATTTCTGGTGAATTTCTGAATATCTTTCCCGCTTGTCAGGGTAATCATAGGAAACTTACTCATTACTTAGCGAGTAACATGATTCAGCACTACATCGTACGCTAAACCTGTTAAAGTTGTTCTAAGAAGCTTGCCCTATGCTGATGAAATCAAATAATATTTATTTGAGGAAGGCTTTAATGTGATTAAAGTATGTCCCATACATAGATTTTGCACGAGAGTTCCGATGCCTCTTTTTTAGGTAAATCAAGATGATGTTGATAAAATTTGCGAAATTAACTGATGTGTTAAACTTCGAAATAAAAATTGAACCTTACAAATTCAAAGGCGGTCTGGCTCAGTGTCCCAAATGCCAGCACCATTATCATTCTTCAAATGAATGCAAACCATTACTCATATGTGTTAAGTGTGGATTAGGTCATAAAATTTCTGACTGTACAGCCAAATGGATAGAAAAATCTCCACTTCTGCAATTGCAGCCAAAATCAGCCCGCGAACTTCAGATCGTGCTCCAATTTGAAAGAGGAATTTGAATAACCCAAGCGTGCTTAAGCTCAGCTACCTTGTAATTCTGACCAGCCTAATGTTCCTTCTAGAGCTCCCAAAAGCTTCATGGCCAAGACCAACGGAGCTGCGGTGAAATCAGATAGTGGCTTGTAACTAATCAGTTCTGTAGTACTTCTGAAGCCAACTCTACTGACGCTGCCCCTGAAGTCAGAAAGCAATCACGCACCACAAATTCGACTGCTGTTCCTCGGAAGAACACAAGTATGACAGGAACATTCTCTGACTTCATAAAAATCATTAAGGAAATTAAGGATATTTTTCGCAGAATTCTCTCTTTTTAATGTGACTTAAACCTTTGCGGACAGAGCAAATGAAATTCGGAGTGTCCTCTCCCCTATAGACAAATAATTTGTGATTTTCAGTAGCTTTGAGGACATTTTTAGTGGTGGAAATATGAAACAATGCAATGGTTATGTTAGGCCCATATCACACGGCGTTTGTTTCACACGAACCACTATTTCGGACAATTTTTATACCTGCTTTACTATTGAAAGGACGACGTGCGACTTTTTCCTTCCTTTCCAAAAAAATTGCAAGTTGTTCGTTTTCAACCAATCAGCTATCAGCTTCGAATGCTATCAGCTTGTTTGTAATGGGGAACCAGTTTCCCCTGCGTTAACCCCAAAGCGACCTATGGTGATTGGCTGTTGTGACAAAGCAGAAAAATTGTTCCAAACAGTTGTTCTTCCGAAACAAACCGACGTGTGATAGCAGCCTTATTAATTGAACGGCGTTTTAGTACCATCTTCAGCTTTTCGGAGTCTACGTCTGGAAATCTTTGTGTTATAATTAATAAAGACTGTAAGTTACATGTGACATCTAATTCCTGAACTTTCCCATTTCGTGGTGATGTGTTCTCAAGGACATTTTTCAATGAAGGTAAGCTAATTAACAGCTAGCTACTTCTGGTGTTGTACTGTTAGTAAGAATGTACAGTACCTATTCTGCTACATTAAAAAAATATATTTTTCCTTTTTCCTAATTTTAAAGTTCAATTCTGTTTGCCTAACGTTAAAGTCCAAAATTCCTGAAATTCACACACATTTTCAAGCTTTATCACTCTCGTATTAACAAATAAGCAAACACAAATCAAAAACTTTAATTAATCCTAGCACATAAAATTTAACACCTTCTTAAAACAGTAAGTTATACGAAATAATAAATTCAAAAAATGAGTTACCGATTCGATCCTTCACTAAGCAGAGGTCACGGCACCAGTGTTATATTTTCTTATTTCACGTGAGAGGATCGAATAAACACAAAAAAATATAAACTTATCTGTTAAGACATCTTGATGTGGGAGGACTCGTATCTTATCAAGCGTTGATGTCGGCCGGGCTCATCTTGACACTGGTTCTAAAAAGGGTCGACGCCAATTCCCACTGTAGAACAGAAACAGGAGCACTGCTGCCCAGGACGGCTATCCGCTTGGTCCTGAAAGTCCTATGTCAACACGCAGGTAACTCGTTCAAATTTCGCCTCTTTACCAGCACGCCGCAAGGAAGAGGGTTTTCAGCCTCAGGTCAGAAACGTTGTTTCTAGGCAATTACGGCTCGCCTGTTCTTACTCATCCCAAGAGCAAGCTTCACGAGTAACGTCCCAAGTAAGTTCCACCCGCCAGTCAGTAAGAGAGAGAATCCAACTCGAATTTCCTTCAAGCCAGTTTTCAAGAGCAACGTCCACAAGTCCAGCAACCCCGAAAGTCAGCGAATCCAAGCGTGAGTGCGTAAGCGAGTCAATCCAACTCGAATTTCCTTCGTCTCCTTCACAACGCGGGCTCCCACTATGGCTTCACTTATCGCCCCCTTAATTATGGCAAAATCTTCGTTTTCAACTCCAGAATGCGGAAATAAGGGTGATCGCGCATGCGCGCCCTTCTTCACTTAGCCAACAACCGGACCCTCAATCGCCAAAAACCTGAATGACTTACATTGAAAGACAAGTAGCAACCTTTGACCTTTCTGTCACGTACTTTCCTCTCTTAAGGTCAACTAACAATGAAAATTCTTTCTCGAACATTCTAAAGGACAAAGCGCGCGAAATCATGACTTGGCAAAAATTGCCTCCCTTTCCCTGCTTCTTTCACAATGAATAAAAGTTTGTACAAGATTTGCAAATAAAAGAAAATAAATAATATTCATTTAAACTAAATATTTCCAGAAGCATCTGTTTTTCCCCAAAATTAAAGCCTTAAATAAATAATTCAGAATCAAATAAAAATTAAGATTTCCATAAATCATAAAATCATTCACCTAATTTTTATAACGCTATCAGATAATTTCTCTACATAACAGTACCATTCTGAGTGACATAGCAAGGAAAATAAAGTTTTAGTGCTTTTTAAAAACCCGAATGCGAGCTAATAAGCCATGCTAGACAAGAACACTTTTTCTAGTTAATGGATAAATATTAATTTAGATTCTATTAAAGCGAATTTTCACTCACGTAGGTATAGAAGACGGAACATGATTCGGATACTTTAATTGTTGGTGATTATATTTAGAAAGGCTAATACCCTTTGAAAAGTGAGCCTTTTCCATGCAATCAATAATAATTAATTTAATGCGACGCTTTGTCAAAAATTAATCTTAAGCTGACGATAACTTCTGTTGTAACAATATTTTTCTAATTACAGTAATTTTGACTCTGCTTTTACCGGGGGGGGGAATGAGGTAGTCTCTCTAGTTAACACACACATATTAAGAAATGAAGCTCATGTGTATGTATGAGCTTGATTTGTTGAAGTTGTTTTACAAGGAAAATAATTAAACAATAAAACTAAGCAGTCGCATTTTTTTAAATATAAAGTTAAAATTTTAAGTTATTAGTTATTGAAATAAAACTAACAAAGCTCATTTTTAATGCAAAAAAATTAAAATTTAAAAGATAAGGAATAAGTTGTTAAATGTTAGGCTGCTCATCTCACATAGATAGGAATTTCAGAAGGACATTTTAGGAACAAAAATATTGTCTTACATTCGAGCCAATGCGGTATTTTAAACGTTTTTAATAAAAAATATTTAAAAAAATTGTTTCAAAGTTTTTCTGGGTGAAGTTCAAATACATGAGAACAATTAAAATATCCCTCATATTTTTATGCGAGTCCAAATATTAATTTCTTCAGTTTTACTAGTTGCTATATAAGTTTAAAAGTCTATATAGAATTCGAGAATAAATCTTATCTAGATTTAAGAACTTCTGATTCTTTTAAAATGTGTCATTGTATTTTATAAGAAATAAAATTAAGAGTTTATCAACACTTATTTCCTATAATTATTTAAATATTTTTATCTTAAAATTATACCATTTTTCCTGCAGGATAATTTCCAAGAACAACAGAAACAAATTGCCAGTTTTTTCCAGTATTCATCCTCTGTTTGAACTTTTCAATGCTCCATTTATGTCCAATTTGGCTCAAAGCCACAGCCAAATAACCTGCAAGAAATAAAATTGCATATACATTCAGTTGATAACTCTAGTAATAAAAGGACAGGAAAAATGCATGATATAATTTTAAACTTATTTAACGCAATGAAATACATTAAATAAGTAAAATTTTATAAAACTACCTCTTAAATTACATAAGCACTATAAAATAAGAATTTTTTTTGTATTAAAACACTTCGCCATAAATCAAAATTGTGAAAAAGAAATTAAGATATACTGAATGCAATCATTCTTATATATCTCTCCTAAAGAATAATTTCTGTTGCTTCTCCAAATTATATTAGTGACCTACTAAAATACGTACGTCTGAGTTCAGGATTTCGTTTGTAGATCAAGTATATTATAAGTTCCAAAATATTACTTTTTAAATAAAATTCATCTCTATAAATATAAATACATAAAATACATAATATTTTAAAACGTTTATAGTATTTAATACGTACGCATATATGCAGTAATAAGCATGAAGCACAGTACAGTAATAAAGAAACACACAGTAATAAGCATGAAAAGCATGAAACACAGTACAGTAATAAGCATGAAAAGCATGAAACACAGTACAGTAATAAGCATACAGTAACACACAGTAATAAGCGTGAAAAGAAATTTCAAATACTATCAACAAATTTACAGAATAAGAATAATTAATATGTATTATTAATAACATCATAGAGATTTGTTGATCAATGAAGGCCAAGTGATTCAAATTAAACCTGAAGCTGTTTTTTTTTTTTTTTTTTTTTTTTTTTTTTTTTTTTTTTTGAGGTTGAAACTCATTTCAGTTCCATAAAACTTTTAGCTATTTGAACACTTCTACTATCTATATACATGAAGTGCATACAATGTCCTACCACTTAATCACTCCATAAATAATTCAGGATTATACTTCGAGTGTTATAAATGCTCACTTTTAGAGTAATTAGGTTATTTTGAAGCAGGAGACTCGAAAAATGATTAATGCTTTCGCCGGGACTCGAACCTGGACCTCTCGAATACGCTCCAAGTGTGCTACCGTTGCACCACTAAGACATGCGGAAAGGAGGGAGACAAAATCTTATATACTCCCTCTTTTGAAGGGCGACTGGGGATGAGGGGACCCAGTCGCCAAATTCTGGCGGGAAGAATCATCATCCACTACCTTTTAGATCGGGCGCCACTGTACAGTCATTTGGTTACTTTGAAGCAGAAGACATGAAAATGAACAGTGCCTTCGCCTGGACTCGAAGCTGGACCTCTCGAATACGCGCCGAGTGTGCTACCGTTACATCACGAAGACATGCGGAAAGGAAGGAGAAAATACCTTATGCACGTAGGTCCTTTTATTCATGGAAAATCAAGTGGGTATCAACAAAAGTCAGTATTGGACTCTAACTTCCTTCCAAACAGTTTGCAATATGGGTATTGCGTGGTGAAGTGTTAAACAGAAAGTTGTAATGTATTTTGAAGAAAAAAGAGTTTGGTGGAGACGAAAATATTTTCATGCATATTTTAATGTTATGCTACGTAGAAGTGTAAGGCACACCTATTACTTAACCTAAGTAAATGTGTATTAGCCCTATACACTAACTGGAAAATCAACAACATTTCGGCCTTCTCGAATCGTGATGATATTGTGACTCCAGCCAACACTGCAAGTTCTGCCGTTTTTTTTTCGGATATTTCTGCATACTAAATGCTGTTACATTGTCAACTTATTTTTGTCATTTCATTATATGCGATTTCATGTGTTTTTTCAGTAATTAGTTCACTATAATTACATTTCATGATACATATATTGTTAATACTTTATTTCTTTTCTGTGAAGGAGCGCCAGTGTACATTGTACCTGTATTTAATTGTTTTGTTTCGCTGTTGGAGAATTTCTTTGAAGGTTAATTTACACTGCATAGCTCTTGACTTCTAGCAGCTAAAACGTCCATAACCTTCGCAATTTTATTCCTTAAGTGTTTATTTTTGACTACATATCCTAGGAATGGGAATAAATCCTCTTATAAATTCAGCTTCTTTACATTAAATGAAACTGTTAATGGGCAGGAAAATAAATAATGTTCAGGGTGACCCATGCACAGGCATCAGATGAAGAGTGATTTCTTACATAGGGGTACGGGGAAAAGGGGACACCCGAGATAAACCACTTGATATGTCTGGTGACATGAATGGGGGCAGAGTCAACTTTAAGCAACAGACTGTTAACTCTTCATGTATTTGCAGTGTCCCATCATTGTTGCCATAATTCTTTAGTTGTATTTTGTGGTTTTAATCTCAGGTGAGAAGCTGGACAGGGGATGCTTATTTTCATGGGATTTATTCCCCGTGCTGCCTACCTGGTTAACATGCCAGCTTCTTCGTTTCCCTTGTGATCAACCTGGGCTTGTATCCAGATTACAAAGAAATGTTAGTTTTGGACATTGAAGGACTTTCTAAGAATTTCTCGACCTAATGGTAATTTATTGTTTATGTTTGCGAGTACATAAATTGCCGAGAGATAATCTCTATAGATATGAGTTCTTCGTCAATGCCTTCGTTGACTGCTTGCAGGATTGTGAACATATCAGACTAAAATACATTATTCTAGCTGGATCCTGAAGTCTTTTGTATCATGATTGTTGATACAGAATTTTATAAGACATCGTTTTCCGTTGTTTATGGCAGAACCTTCAGTGTAGGATCTTCGTAAATAATGTTTGGTATCTATTCTGTCTTAGGCATAGTGTGATGTTACCGTATATACCCGCGTATAAGTCGACCCCCCACTTCGACATAAAAAATTCGTAGAAAATAAGAAACCCGCGTATAAGTCGACCCCCCACTTTCGAAATCGATCGAGAAACTTCCAAAATTTTTTTTAAGTACTACATTTATTCAAAATCATCTGAGGGAAAAAAAGTAAATATTACGATAAAAAATACCTTGGTAAATAAACAAAATCAAAAGTCCTTCAACGTCCGATTCATCATCAGATTCGCCAAACATTTCATAGAACTCTTCTGTCGTCGCGGCACGTGATTCTAGCAAAGAATCCGTCGAATCTGAAAGTTAAACCGAAAAGTTTTCTGTCCCGAACAACCAATCAGCATCCAGCAGGCAAAAGCGTTCCCAACATATCCAAAACGCAGGATAATTGGGGAAAAATCATCGTATATAGTAACCATTTAGAATTTGTTCCGGAAAAGATTCGCGTAAGTAAAATCTATCTGCATTTTCCCTTTTCAAAAGTTAAAAGAAATATTCAAAACTGTTCAGTTATTGCATGGAATATTTTTTTAAATTTTGGCGTGTACGCACGCCTGTTAACAAAAGTATTTCATGGATGAACAATAACTATTATAGACTTATGCGTACGTAAAAACTATCTGCATTTCTCTTTTCTTGGCGTGTTGGCGAAACTTTTTTATTGCTCAATATTGATCGGTTGTTCGGGGGCCGAAAATTCTTTGGTTTAATCGAAACTTACTCTAGTTAAAGTATGAAACTCTGTGATTAATCCGTCACATAATTTAAGTCATGAAATTACTTCAAGTAAGTGACTTATTTGATAAGTCGTCCATTTTGAGTGCGGGAAGAAAACAACTGCATTATATAAAGAAATTTTTGAACTTTCGATTCTTTTAATTTTTTAGGCCCCCGCGTATAAGTCGACCCCCCACTTTGAAGTCTTTTTTTTTGTCCAAAATATCTCGACTTATACGCGGGTATATACGGTATTTCGGCTAGTTGGGTGTCTTTCATATGGATGGGTCCCTGAGGTGTAGGGGCTGGTAGCTACTATCTCATTTTTAATTTGACAATCTCTTCTTAACTGGAGAACTAAAGTCTTCGCATATTCCTGCTCCGTAACTAGGAACAAGGGTGATGTTGCTGGCAAACTGTAACAGTGCAGAATTTGAGGCACATTTTGATGCAAGATCGGCTCCTTGAAAACAAGCCATTCACAAACTGACTCAGCAATTGGACCCTCTATCTGTATATTAGAGAAAAATCGACGGCGCTCATCCATGGCCACACATCTGAAAATGGCAACAGGTCTCGCCTTACACAATAATGCATGCAAACTGGAGCCTAGATACACAATATAAATGTTGTTCTCGATTTCCTATGTGATATGTTTAGTGTATGTGTAATGTCACACAGGTCTTCTCAGTGTAACCAAGAAGGGTGACAGTGGCCCCTGCATAGCCCAGATTTTAGTTCAAATGATTTCTTTTTCTAATAAAGCCTGAAAATGTCGTGCAACTCTAGGCTCTTACCATGCAACTGTACCGTGCTTCTTCGTAGGAAGTGTGGTAGAAGGTTGTGATGAATGCAAGGATTCGCTTTTGGGAAACAAAACGGTGGATACGTTGAACACATTCTAAACTCGCGTTCCATGCTCAAACAGTGAACTATGCAAAGACTACAAAACCACAGGCAATACCACAGTCACATCGGGACCTGCCATCTTTCGTTCCAACATATCCCACACATGTTCTATAGGATTCAGGTCCTGGGATCTAGTAGGCCACGGCAGATATTGAGTGATTTCACTCTCTAGATAACACCCAAGCTCTATGCTGGCAGGCGTTATTATCTATACATATTGCGTCAGTATCCATTGCATCGATAAAAGGACTCACAAGAGGGTGTAGAATTTCATCAGGTTATCGGAAAATTGTTACACAAACACCATGAATCACACAGAGACGGTGTGACCGTTCATTGCTATCTCAGAAAGTACAAATAATCTTCTTCTCTGTAATGATCATTTTCGACAATGTTTGGCGCCCGATAGAGTATCCCTGGCTCTCGCCATATCATTGTCGTTCGGGAATCGTTCTGGATGCTAAATCGAGACTTATCTGTAGAAATACTTGTGTCCAGCTGCGATGTTCGCAAGCCCAGTCCAACGGCGCTCTGATATATGGTGATGGGGATATAGGAACATAAGCAACAGGCCTTCGAGCGTATTGTCCACTTTCATGCAGTCGACTCGACACAGTTTAGCGGGATAT